CATGTTTTATCGCTAAGCCTGACGGGCCAGACACGAGTATTGACTGACTCTGAGACATGTCTGAGTCTACATCGTCATCAGTCGATCCAGATGAATGGCTATTACTTTTTTTTCTACGTTTCCCCTTCCCCATCTTCCTATTCCCAAGTTAAGTGAAAGTAACCTACAAGCTATCGAATCAGATACAAGATTGATTAGTTTAAAGAGAGCTACTCACGTACGTCCGTCTTCGACGAAGTCCGTTTGGGTCCTCTTCGCGAACATATGATCTTCATGTTCGTTCTTATCGTTGCCACGGCAGCGGAGTCATGAACTCCGCTGGTCCGATTCTGTACCTGAGGAATTTTTCACTTGAAAACAAGAATAAATTTATATCAATAGTGCTACAAAAAAAATCAGATCAATAAATAGTAGAGTGAGGGAATTTCATACTCAATCGTCTTTAAAGTAAACGCCATTCCGTCGAAATTAAATTGCACACACAAGGCCTGACCATTATATCATTTATTGGAGAAAACACGTTCATGTCTTACGTTACCTCTTTACTCTCATAATCATCTCAGGGACAAAATCAAGTGCGCAATCATAAAATGTCAGCGTCGTCGATTAGGTCATCCACTGATACAGCAACTGTTGTTATCACTGAGCATGTTGTGCCAACATAGATGCTATCTCTAAAACCTTCCTTTCTTTCTTTAGACGTTTCGGGCTTGTTCTGCTATGGCCATAATACAGTTAATACTGAAAGCAGAATGGTCGTATTTTTGAGAAATTTTATAGTAACGTTAATCTCAGACTTGTATGGGATAAGAGTTTATTTCACAAACGTCGAGAGTGCAGGGATTCTATGATTGGCTTCCGAATATCCACTCTCAGAGCACAGGTTCTGATTAGTCGCAAGCTACGAATGTGATACGAATCATTCAGTGCACTGAAAAAGAACAACTTATGGGTTTTTACAGACAGACCAATATTACGCGCACCATGAAAATGTTTTATTTAAGGTACACAACAATTCCATTCAGCGAACTTTCCCCAATAAAAAGTATGCATTTGGTTCATTTTAAGAACTAAGAAATTTCATAGTTACTCAAGTGATTAGCTATGAAATGCCAACAATGCACAGGTTAACAGAAACAGAGGATGTTGAGTGGGCTTATGCTTAAATAAATGAGAATGAAACACGTTTTAACGAAAATTTTATGAACTGAATCTTTCACACATTGCAAAACACCACTTATACCGAAAACGGATCAATCCTTAATGTGCTTTTATAAGATACGCACTAGTAAAGTACAGCTAAGAGAAGTGGTCACAGCGTGCACATTGCTTGTCAGTACGACGTCACGCAGGCGCTGAACAGACTTTGTGGAGATGAATAAAGTTGCGACATTGCTCATTTGAACGCATGCAAGTCGCTGCAATAGGAGAGAGTGGTAGTTAGTTAGTTTATTGGCCACATTCTTAATAATTTGGACAAAAATATGCGAAAAATTATTTAAATACTTCCATAGATCCAATAAGCAAATTCCTAAACGCTTTTCACGTCATAGTGCAAGCAAGAAAACATTACTCGGAGATATTTGCCGGAAAGTTAAATTAGTTTTCCTGTTTCTAGTCAGTGAATCACAGGTCGAGAGATATCATCCATGCAGACGAAAATAACCTCAAAACATGAAATGCTGGAATGACCTGCGTAATATACTGCACCTTCAACTACGCTCATGTTACCATATTCCCCCGTAAATCCTAATGCAATATCAGGCTATACGATGGTCGTAAATTTCGATGATCCTCACAATGACAATCGAGAGGTTCGGCTTTTTACTCAATGGTTAATATGGTTCGGTTTACATTATTAATTAAGATCTGTACTGACCGGATATCGCATTTGTGAACAGTAAATTTACAACCGCCGTATAATTCACGATCATCGTACTCGTTTATAAGAATCGACGCATGTATGCCGTCTCGATGGCATGTGCTGGCACCAGCGATGATCATGTAAATAGTTATCTTAATTTGATAGAAGCGTGATGTTGCAGGAGAGCAAGAGACCGAAATTTACTGGCAAAAAAGACCAACAATCACGACGACAAAACTACGATAAGGTAAAACTTTTTTTACAAGCGACCAATGAAAAGTGGTATGCCGGGAAACTGACATTCCCTGTAAATTGTCAACACTATCGATATTTTGACGTAATGACAACTCCAAGCATGGATACTGGATGATGTTGTTGAAGACAATGTTGGAAGTGGGTCTCATGCCGAATATCGATTAGTAAAAAAAGATTACCATAAGCTTCTTATGCACATTTAAATATTGTATACACAATACAAACAAAAAGAATATCAAATATTAGGTAGATTTTACCAGGACGGTTCACTAATATTAGATGCTTAGACGCGAAATATATAATACTCGTGGCGAAATACAGGATAATAACTATTGAATAACAAAGGAGAGCAAAAAAGACTCGTTTGACAACGGAGTTACAAGCACAAATCAATTCAGAGTTCGACGAGTTTAATCTTAACGTGAAATGAATCTTCGAAGAAATCACCTCCTTACCGGCAGATACTGCAAGTCAAAAGATTTACTATTGCACACCAGGTTTCCATTTAGTCAAAAGATTAAATGAAAGGAAAAAATACTGTAAAGAAGAACGGAATGCATGCTCTGAAAAAGTATCTAAAGTAACTGCCAGAGGTATTAAATTTGGACCAAGTGTGTTATCGTTAATAGCAAGTTAGTTTTCTTAAACTGAGAGATAGAATACAAATTAAAGATAATCACTGCGTGTTACCAGTTAGTCACGAGCATGCCTTAATCAGATGTGTGACGGCAATCTCCCCAAAACGTTATCTTCCAACTAGGATAAAGACCTTGAACTTCAGAACCGAATGAGCCTAAAAGATTGTCAGCAGAAGCGCAGAACCCAAAAAACCTCATCAAGACCCGAAACTAACACGATAAAATCGAGTGAAGCACGCGATTTTACGTTGAGCCAACTTCACACTAGATGTAAATGAAGCGCGTACGATTCACTGGACATTTCAGGCACCAACTAACGTTCAAACAGGATATTACAGAACAACCCTAATAAAAGATACACTACGCATTTATAAATAAGATACATCCGCTAAGCGTGTTGTTATATAAAAGATTCGTTGGTTATATACAAAGCAGCTGCTCGTGGAAGTATCAAAAGAACGCTGTATGTACATTGTTGTTGATCACAGTGCGCTAGATCTTAAGATGACACAGACGCAGCCTATGTAAGCTGCTTGCACGAGCGTCTCTACAATGTTGCTATCCTGAAGTGGCCGATGGCATTGTCGATGTAACGGTTAGGGAAAAACTGTTGTAACTGTTAGAAAAATTTCAAACTACGCTTGAAATTGACTATATTTCGATTATGATCGATATTGCGCTGCAGCAGGTGTGCAAAAAAACTGAACTCTTTAATTAACACAGGGCGGAAGCAACGCACAACGAGCACAGCTCCAGTTCTGCAGATTCTCCAATATATTCGCAATTTACAAAGTAAAATTCAAGTGTGGATATAAACAAACGTTACATCAATGCCTGGTCTCTGTAAGATGAACACCAGGCCGGATTCTCAAAGATCATTTCTACGAGTTTGACGACATCGCACTCAGGCAGCGAGAACCCGGGCATATGACCACCGTGAATAGCTTAGATAATCTGGGCCCAGGCTCTGATGTAAATGAACAATGATATTAAAGGTAGATATTGTAAACATGGAAAAATGTAATGAAACGTATCTCTTCATTAATAAAGATTCGTTCCATGGCCCACAACTACATCCCATTGATGTCCAGGAATGTATGATCCTCTTTCAAAACAAGTAGCGTAGGGAATCCCGTTCACAAGTGAAGGCATATAGAAATGTAAATACATTGTAATTCCTTCATACATATAAAAGCACATATACACATAGATTGATGTATATAATACATATGTATAAACAATACATGAAGAGACGCTCGTGCAGAGTATCACAGCAAAGCTATCGTCATTCAGACGTGTATATGCAAGGCACGTCACCGCAGTGACTTGACGTCATCATGACCATGTCACGTTACACACTATCCCGCGCGATCATCGTGTCGGTAAGAATGGTTGTTACAGAAATGATAACAATGTAGATGATATCAACGATGAAGGTTATAATAGTACTCGGCATTGAGGCGGTACTGACGCATTAATTGCATTACGCAATCACTCAACATACGAGAGCACGAAAAGCACGCCTCGTGTCGCTCCACAATGATCGTAAATGTGAATCAATATATAATCAATATTACCCTCTATTTAACTCAAAGCAAGCAATATTAGCAGCAAAACGACGCTCGTTATAAATCAAACAAACCTAACAATGAAGTGATCACATCATATCTGTTCAATTCATGCGGATGTGGTGCGCGTGTGTGGTGTGTTTGCGTGTGGTGCATGCGTGTGAAGCGTGAGTGGTCCCTGTGTGCTGTGACAATGGATGCTGTGTGGACGCTGTGCTGCCGGCACAGAGCAGCACTGCAAGTATACAAGATACCGTCAATAAGCACAGGAGTCCAACATCTCTGACATTTATGCCATAGCATTCACGCACGGCACACAGCACAGTGATTCACACACGGCAAATCGCACAGCGATTCACGCACGGCAAATCGCACAGCGATTCACGCACGGCACACTGCACAGCGATTCACGCACGGCAAATCGCACAGCGTCCCGAAGCACGCTACAAAGCGTCCGTGTGTCGCTACCGCATGTCAAGTCGCTTGTCGCTCTTGTTGTTTAAGATCAACTGATATCTTTGTGAAGTAGTTAAATAAATTAATAGCACGTCAGGCAATAACCGCACACGCATTCGACGTAAGAAATCAAGAAATTTATGAACATTCGTACATGAAGTAGATGATTGATAAATGTTAAGTATTAATGATTAGTATTTAGAATTATGTCCAATAATCGCATTTCTGAAATCAACAGAACTAACAAAGCATAAAAACTCCTCTAATTTAGGTTAGGTCACACCAATTAGCGTTAAGCTATTACATATCTTATTTTAGAACGTGCTTAGCCAACGAGAAAATCAGCAGCTTTCATTGCTGGACCAGCACTGCAGCAACAGCTGGACCAGCACTGCTGCAACAGCTGGACCAGCACTGCAGCAACAGCTGGACCATCTGAGCGTCTCCAGCTGGATTATCAAGATAAGCTTCAGATTTAATAATACCCTTAAATGCGAACAAAAATTTACCAACAATATTTTTGTGTTTTTTTTTCGCCTTATAATTTAGAATAAGATAGTGTCCACTAATTGAAAATCCTTACCCGACCAATTACAACGAATAAGATTACAATTACAATTAGGTAAATTGTAGTTCTACAGCAGATGAATGGCGTTCAATGGTTTAATAAAAGCCGGTACAATACGTAACTTCAGCTCGCAAGGTCTTAAGGAGCAAGCGCTTGCACAATAACATTTAGACTCTTTTGTATCGGAGCCTCAAACAGTTCAAAAACCGCAAGAAAATTTGTATTCAAACTTCTGAGAAAAGATGACAAAATTCGCCCAGAATATCATCATACTTCCAACGCATCAAGATTCAATTTAGAAAAAACTTCATGATGAAAAATACACGTGAATTGGAAACGTCATTCCGTTTCCGACGAAGAAAGTTGAAAAAAGGCCCCTCGATCAAAAGACTTGGATTATTTGCCAGGTCTTCTGGCAAAAAGCAGCACAGGCACGAACACGTGTTAAGCTCCACGATCTCCCCACCTGAAGTTTTCAATAAAATTCGTGAATACCTTATCGAGGATCATATTAATCATGCCTCCACGAAAACCCAAGTTAACACGACGGTCTGATAGAATCGCGTTATCGTAAAAACTCTACCACAACATCGCTACATGAACTTCCAAATAGCATCACTTGACACCGTAAATACATCACTTTTATGTACCAAAACTTCATTTCATTCGTATGAAGCATCATCTCACCATGAGCGCATCACGGCTTTAGCTATGAAAGCATAGATGCATCGCGCTCACATTACGTCAATTCACATATGTTGTTAGTGTTAGGTAATTATATCTTATCACTTCACGGAAACGTAGATAGAAGAATGGGTAGAGCAAATCACTAGTGTACAGGACAGAGCTTGCATTAGCACGCTCCGAAAATGGGATAAGAGCGTAAATGTGGAGATGCTAACTGGCATGGGAAGCTGAGGCGTGAAGGAGACGTGATACATTACATCTTAGGGAGCTAATGGCAGTGAATGCAGACTGGACGAATAAACTCTGGAATATCAAAGTTTTTGTCCAATGGGCGTACGATTCCTAAATCTACACCGCACTAAGCTAGGTTAACTCTTACAAATATGACACTAGAGCAGTGCACATTAACCCTTGTATTGCACTTTAACCCTAGCAGTGCACTCTAACCCTCTCAGTGCGCTTGAACCTGAGCACGTATTACACGCGATATATCGAGTCGAGCGTAGACTGACCAGTTTGCACGGAGCCACCACGCAAAATTAGCGGCGTAAGTGACGGCCCCGCAATGCGTGATTCCAGAATGTATACCTACATGCATTCAGATTTTTCGAAATTTTGAGACTTATTCAGAATAGAGATGCACTTTTTGCGCTTGAGCGAATTCTCCTGGCCCAGTACGGCGCAGGAGAAGCACATATCAGTGTCATTTTCTAAACAATATGGCGGATCCATTTCTCCTAGTGTGACACAGCCGACTAACCTACTAGTGTCTATTTCTAAAACGCTGTTGTAACATCAGGCTCGCTTCGAACTTACTAGTGTCCATTATAAACGCTGTTTTAATGCAAGTTCGATACAATAATACACACGAGCTGCCGCCATTAGCCTGTCATGACCACGCCGCATTAATCGTTGCCCAACATTTTCAATCAAACCGGCACGGACACATCGCACCGAGTGCAGGAATAAATCTCAGTCTCCGAACGAGCAACTGTTAATCGATTGCTAACTGAGCTAATCCAAATCAAGCCAACACGAACATTCATACTTCCCTTAAGAAATGCGATTCATTTCATTCTTGAGTTCAAGTGAAGCTTTACATTGCTTAGTCTCGCCTGGTCGTCAATTGAGTACGACGCAGATTGTAACACGGCTTCTTGCGCACCACATACACGCTGGACCGTGCCCGCTATGCCGGTCTGCAGAGTACTAAGCGAGAGGAAGATTTGGGGCGAGAGTGGTTTGTAGCGACTGTACTGCACAGGTGAGAGTGGTTTATAGCGACTGTACTGCAGAGATGAGAGTGGTTTGTAGCGACTGTACTGCACAGATATGAGTGGTTTATAGCGACTGTACTGCACAGATGATGCGGTTCGTCAGTGGCAAGCCCTACAGCATTGACTCCTGTGACTCCAGTACGCTTGATCGTACATTCCTCATCAGTCTTGATAGCAGCACAGTCTAGGATTTGTCAACTCATCCTCCTTATTGCCGCGTGGAACAAAGCAATACGTATAAAGGAAATAGAAATTTTCAAGGTAAGTTTGATTGAAGCGGGCAAACACGAAGGTTAAATTAATGCTCTTCTTCCCAGTAAAAATTTCTGTTCAAAAACCTACTTCACTCACCATGCGTGAGACCCGAAGATTTGAAAATAAAGTAATTAGGAAAATGTTCGTTGGGAAATCATTCAGACGTAATACAACCGAAAGCAGTAACTTACAAACTAACGTCATAGTCCGCGTTTAGAAATATAAGAAAAAAGACTCCTTGCAAAAAAAATCATACCGTTTGAAAGTCAATAGACATGGAAATATTCATACACAAGACAAACATCCATTCGAGCACAGAAACATACGAGTTATGCATATAAATCTATTCGTATGGTGAGATCGACGTACGAACGCCACACCAAATCCAAGTTAGCAGTCCTCGCGATTCAAAAAGTGAACTATTAACACGCAGATATTTTGGGTACACTTCTTTCGTGCCAAGATAAGTTAGTGAATTAACGAACATAAAATAATCAACAATTTTGAAAAAGTTTTTATATTAATTAAAAATCACTGTTTGAGGTGAGACCATTGATCGCCTTGTCTAATTTGGATGATACACGCCAATAACTCATATTTTTGATAAATAGTGATGTTAAATAATATACAGTTCAGAACTACATTAATAATCATAAATGAATGAGGAAAGATACACATCGCGTTCGAAGATCTAACGATATTCGTATACTAATCATTGATCGTCATTCTCTTTCTTTGTTGATTTGTAACACAAAACAATCCTTTGAAAAGTTCGAATGCGGAGAACAAAAAAAGGTCAAAGACGTTCACGAAGACAACCTGTAGCAGAACAACTCGTATCACAACAGAAAATAGGCGCAAGGATTTTACAACATACTAGTAACTACTTAAGTTAAAGTTCATTTAATTTCAGAGAGCCCGAAGGAAATTAAATTTGGCCCTCGCAATTAAACACCACAAAATAAGAAGCGGGTAGTTTTACGTTTGAAATGTTTTATCTTAGTAATTATGAAGGAAACACATTTCCTGTTAGTAATGAAGAACATGTTTCTTGTCAGAAAGAAGTCGGGCCAGGAGCAGACAGACCATTTCTCATTATCACCAATCTTAGTTATATAATAACCATGTAATCACCGAACACGCACTGAATCAAACTCTCTCTTCAAAACGCAGCACAATCTATACACTGCTACCGCTACATGACTTGCGTTAGTCCCCACTGAACAGCAAGGCTATCACACAGCGCACATCCGCTACAAATTACAATCTCCTTTGTTTAATTAAGCTATCAGGCAAACAATTTCTATCTGACATCTTCAACTGTATCTTGAAAGGTTTCCATTTCTTCACAATTACATAAACCAATTTCGAACTTCTGATTACGCGGAAGTATTTACATACGCCTTTCACAAATCGTTCTCCGATTAAATAGGAGTGTCCTAAAACAACCCGACACTAATGGGGAAAAGTGTTCATCCCGCTATCTATGGTGTTATATTAATGAATCATTCTGTTATCTTGATATTTTCCTCATCGCGAACAAAGTTTTTCCAGGAGGTAACACTGTAGAAAATGGCGCTCTACACTCGCACAGGAAGCTGTACTGATTCCTCTCACCGAAGAACCAAGAGGCAATATTAAGGCAGAATCTACCTACACTCTTTACTACTGTCATCTTTTCCGCAATGCTGCTCCTTGCATTGAAACTAAGGTGTGCAGGACAGGTTCGAATTTAGTCAGAACAGTTGATGCGCTAAACTCGAAGGCACATCGAGCAAACGGAAATAATTTGGAAATAATTTGGTTATCAGGAAATAACAAGGCCAAAAAATCACTTACGATTACAGAATAGAAGCAACAAACGTAAATTTTCACTTTTAGAGCCATAGCTTTGCTCGTATTAGAAAGTGTCGAAATCGAAGAAAAACTAGGAATCTTCTGGATTTGCGAATGTGAAGCATGGAGCTTCACGGCAGACATCGCCAACAAGTCTACCAACTGACAGATTATCACAATTTTAACAATATTGTCCCGAAACCTGCTTAGATCACAGTGAGTTTTGAAGTGGTAGCAACGTAGGCACCTCTTGTCCACATCGTCCATATCTCAAATTTATTTGCTGCATTACGAACGACTCTAAATGTCCATCGGGACCTAAATGATCAGAAAAACTATGACCGAACAGTAAGACCATAACCGAACAGTAAGACTGTGAAAGGTCAGCGAGACTATTAAACATGCCCCCTTTATAACACAAATTCCGTTTTCTAGGTCGTCCATAACCACAACAGCCTCCCTTGAACAATAAGATATCAAAATTAAATACCATTTGTTATGTAAGAATTTTTATCCTAAAACATCAGATATTAGACGACGGCGCCTGCCTAAAGGCATCAGTGATAACAGCAGTGTACTCAGAAATTACGTGAAATCAATCTGTGATTATTCGCCCCCTCCCTGAGTTGGAGAAATAAGCTTCCACGCCGCAGTCGGTATCATACTCTTCATGAATAGCTAAATCAAAAGCACAACCGTGACTCTGTTGATGGTAGTAAGGTAAACAGTTTGGACAAAATATGAAACCTAAATACCAAAGCTCAGCTCTCACATACAGTTGATGGTCCCCTAGAATTTGGCTCTTATCAAGAGTGAAGAAATCCGCAGACGAGGTTTGCGAGGAGTTTGTTTGGAAAGACTTTGTGCGCGAGGCCTCTACTTCCGCCGGCATCAGGTGCTCCATCGCAGTTGCCGACAAGCAGCAAACCGTTGCAGTAACCATGCCACTGCACCCCAGCCCCAGCAGTGGTGGAGGGCATGGCAGTGGCGCCGTAGTACACAGGAGGAACAGCCAAAGACTGCAATATATTCTCAGGGCCACTGAGTATAGAGGGTAATTGAGATGCAGAGGTGGTGCCATCTTTGTAGGGGAGTGATTGCGATGGTCCCTGGGAGTACACAGGCCTCTGTTCTCTGGGAGCCGGGAAGAAACCCACGCACGGGGGTGACAGGGGCGGCAGACGCACGCAAGTCTCTGACAAGGACGGGGTGAGGGCGGCCGGCCGGCCTGGACGGTGGGGCAAACTGACGTGGGGAGCAGAACCTGACCAGAAATAAGGCTGAAAAACGTCAGGCTGAGGATTTGATTGGCGCAGATAAGAAGCCTCGGAAATTTCCTCGTGCCGAGGTGAAATGGAAGCCCTAGGAAGCAACATCGGCCGGCACGAAAGAATGGCACCGTCGATTCTGCTGCCATTCATTTCCCTAGTGGCGCTAGACTGATGGTCAGGCACAAGGTTCACACCCCCGTAGTGATCACTTTCAGCTGCTGTGCCACAGTTCCGTTCAACATCAATACCACCGTCGCCTCGGACGCAGTTTGGGATCTCAGACAAGAAGGCGTTGGGAGCGTAGGAAGCTAAGGCATGCGCGGCGAGTTTCTGACAGGGAACTCCGTGTAAAGAGCTGATGGCGCTGGCGCTGTATGGGTCAGCAGAGACATAACTGTTCGATGCTCCAGAAGACTCCAAAGCACTGGAGTTTCCGCAGCTGTTTGAAGTCAAAGCAGATGGCCACGGTAAAACATTTACATGATTGACATTATTGGATCTTCCAATGTCAGACAAAGGCAACGTGTTGTCGTCAGCAGGCCCCAAAGAAAGCAATTGCAAGACAGTTGACGCGTTTTTAGAGCCCGCTTCACTAGAATCTTCAATGGCTGTCCATGGGCCACTAAGATCATCGGGAAAAAGAGGGACGGCAATACTAACATCCTGCGGTGGCCCTAGTCTGGTTGTGTCACTAGATACTTCACTAACACTGTTAGGCAAGACGAGTGGACGAGGCTGCAGAGATTCTGAAGGATTTATTGATGTGTAAAGAACTGGGACACCCGCTGCTTGTGCGACACCCGTAGCAGGACAAGATCCTGAAGCGAGAGTCCAAGCAACTTGAGGGCAAGTACCCGAAGCCAAGGACCAAGCGAGAGCAGCAGCAGCAGGTGGTGGTGGTCCAGTCCAATGAGCTAAGGCTTGCGTGTCAGGGTCCAAAATACCTGAAGCATGCGGCACTACAGAACTGCTGCAGTAAGGAACGTCTTCCAAAAGGAATGGGGTCAGCAAGGTGGCATCATCTTCTTTAGGCCTATAGGCCTGGTCTACTTTATGTGGCCAATGGTCCTCAGGGGCAGCCTTGCAAGGCGAGGCCTTGGGGAGGCTTTCGTTTTGTCCCCACACCTCCCCATCCAGTGACTGCTAGCAGCGCCGACTGCGCCAGTAGTTCATGTACTCCTGCAAAATTATATTTACAGTTAGGAGAAAACAGAATACTTATATCACAAAACGTACCAAATAACATATATAATTACATAAAATAATGACAGTAACAACTACATAGAACTTAGCTTTACTGAAGAGTGAAGAATGTTACAAGATCTACAAATTAAAATGCCTATTTCTTAATTTTATTCTGAATAGTGTGATTGAGTCGTTTTGCAGAAATAAAAATCAATAAGAGATTAGTGAGTGCATTAATAAATCTTAAGCAAGTAACTGATAGTTTGAGAGTAGAAGTGCGTCATTTTGCTGTATAAAATTCCATCTAAATCGATACATCAATAACAGATTAATGCATAATTTTTAAGCAAGTGACTGATAGTTTGAGAGTAGAAATGTAAATAAAATAATAATAAAATAATATATAGGTATATATATATATATATATATATATATATATATATATATATATATATATATATATATATATATATATATATATATAATTCCATCTAAATCGAGATGAAAATACGGCTCACAGAATAAGAGATGGATATTTTTTCGCTCTGATATCTGGTGAGCTTGAGGCTGCGACGCATCTCTGCCGTGACGCTGCCTTTGTAGCCGCCCTTGCGCAGCAGTGAGTCGATGGTTCGGTCGTGATCCCAGCCTGCAGCCATAATATTAACCACATTTATTTCGTGATGTTGACTAAGACAGAGATATTTACTCTGAACATCGAACTATCTCAAGAATATATCAGCTGAAATTCTATGACAGAGCATACCCTGCTCAGGCGCAACTTCAGGCAGGTAGGTGGCTGTGCGCTTGGCTCCTCTCTCGTTGAAGAACTCGATCCTGATGCCGTGGGTGCCGATGTCCCAGTCGCGGTAGTCGCGCCCCTCCTCGAACTCCCGCAGGATCGACACGGACACCGACAGCCGCGGCAGCTCTTCAGGGGCAATGGGCTGGAAGCGCGAGTCCTTGAAGGCACTGCAAAATCAAATAACATTTAATTAGATTTTACAATTAAAGCGATACAAATCATTTTAATACTGCTCTCAAATACAAGGTAATCACTGCTACTGACACCTGGGATCTTGGATGAAATAGCAGCATGGGATGACTCTCTAGACAGTAATATCAAGTATCAATTCAACTCATTAAAAGTTATAATGGTATCGATGTATTAAATAATTAATGACTGAAACATAATGCAAAGTACTAGAACAACTGACGGCCATTGGACAATAGTTAAGTGAGTTTTATTAAGTCAAAGCTAGAGTTCTTGTTTCACTATCATTTTTATTTGTCAGCATCACGATAATTTCTACACTGAAGTATAGTACTGTGAAATAAACATGTATACAAAAGTAGGAATTCTTCATACAAGTAGTAAAGCAGTATTCTACTATGAAGAGACAGCATTACAACAGACCTGGTAGCAGCGTATTCTCTCAAGCCAGCGTGCAAGTTGATATGGCTGAAGGTGCCCATGCAGCCTCGTAATCTGTGGTCCCGTCCAGAGGTCCACGTCACAAACAGGGGACTGGAAACAATATATATCTTAGAGATGGTAACAAAAATCATTGATAAATAGTAATACTTTCAATCCTAATGTATTTACAAACAGAAAGAACTATAACTGCTGTATCTGAAGCTTTTTTATGAAAGAATGTAAAATTAGCACTGAAGTAAAGGAGGGTTAAGAAATTTTTAAATTTCTTAAACTTCCAATCATGGTTGAACACAGCTGTACCTATTCTTAAATTCATTTTAAATATTCAAGAAACCCAAATGAAGGACTTGAATGGAAGTTTTCACAGTAAAACTAAAACTTCATCCACATCCAGTGAAAATTTGTCTACCTTTCAAAGGCCATTCTCCATGCTGCAATTTTTCTCATCAGTCTTTTGATGAGTGGCCAATTTTATCAAATAATTCATCAAACAAATAGCCAGCATTTCTTCATCTCCAAGAAGAGAAGTGCTAAGGTTTAATAGAAATACAAATTAGAACCCACGCATCATACTAGGGCATGCGATTTGTAGCTATTGGTAGGCAGGCCTACCATTCAGTGAAAAGTTCTCAGTGTTTAACAACTATCACATTTAATTGGTCAGTACCTATGTAGGGGTACCTAATCAAGTTAATATCTATTACTTTTATTAGTCATGAATAAAACATTGAGATGTTCCATAATTTCTCAAGTGCATACAAACTTTATGTATGTACCGGTATATATAGAATGCATGCCTGAAATTAGTTTTGTTTAACCGCAGATTGGAATTAGTCTATGATGCAAAAAAGTTATTATAAAAAAAGTTATTATAAAAAAGTTTACCTTCATCAACTGAGTACATGTTTTCAATAACGTGTATCGTGTATATCTTCATCATTTTAAAGTCAGAAATAGAGTGCTAAAAAACCTTTATATACTTTGCAAGCATTGTGTTAACTCCAAATATTTCAGAGCTACGGTATCAATAGATTAGCAAAATGGATCAAATTGAGTGCTGAATCACTGCTGATGCCTTAGTTATGTTATAGTAACTGCATCTTGCAATCAATAGACTTTTGTGCTATGAAGAATTCATAGATCTATGGTGGAAAATTTGAAATTTTTGTTGGATAAACTAGAATTTGTCATTCATCTATCAAGCTGATGGTGATACCGGTACATAAGAGATTTCTTGTCATTTCTATACATTCAGCTGCATCAATATTTTACTTTTTTACTTTTCCAAACAATCTTATGCAAAAAAAATAATAAGAAGTATTATATCTCTACTAGGCAATTAATTTATAAATATCTTACAATGCAACTTGACTGAAAATATTTTCATCCAAGGTATTATATACTAAATCACATTCTTATTTGAAAAATTACTTAGAACAAGATTTTCTAACAATATTTTTTTGCAACAAAATATTATTGGAACTGCATTTACCTTTAATAGGCAGGCAAGCCCTTACTATGGATCATTGGTGAAGTCAGGCAGTGGAGGGGGGTCCAGGGAGTGCAGATGGCTGTGCAGGACATCAAAACAATAGAAGCACATCTCAGGGCACGCCACAGGAATGAGGCCGTTGCGGACACGGCCATTGCTGGAGGCACTTGCATGGTTCGATTGAGATGAATGATTGGTGGAACTGTTGTAGCAGCACACCTGCAAGTACCAAATATTCTATTACTTTCTGAAAATTTATTGGCATAGGTTTAAAATATTTTCCATGCTCATAATATTAAACATTTTACACATTTATGAAGAAATGTTTAGGCACATTTTTCATGCTTAGCACAGTTAAAGTAAGATGTACAAACTGTTGATGCCTCTGTCTACCATGAACTTCTTATTAGGACTTGACATAAGTCTTAAACATCATTATGAGTGTTACAAACATGATACTTACAGAGATTGGAGATTGGACTTAACAGAAATAATTTCAGTTCTACATTATTTTCAAGTTATATCAACATACCAGTATATGTTACACAAAACTTGAATTTAGTTAGAATGTTGGAATGGGAGAATGAGGATTCTACAACAGAGGTAGGAAGATGCACTACTGTCAAACAGGGTAATAAGGGACAGGCAGGGTAAATCAGGAGAGGCATCCCACATTTTGTAGATGTGTTCTAACAGCTAAACTAATCAAAATATTGCAAAACTATAAATAATGGCATAAAGTTCAACATTTCTACTATCTATATAGCATAAACAAATTAAGAAATCACACATTTACTACCTATAAAAAATCCATGAAATAAAGCATGAAAAGTGAAATTTTGAAAAAGTACCTCTGCTAAGGTCTGTAGCAAAAAAAAATTATTTGCCATATTAAAAAATTTTACTTACATAAAAGTTGCACATAGGTGTTGGCTTTGTGTGTTAGAATTTGTGCATCTCATTGTACAAAAAAATGGCAGCCATTTCTGCACAACAGGGTAGTAAGGGATATCAATTTTAACAATAGACGGACATTACCCCCCGGGGTAATAAGGGACACCACTAAAAACACATGTACCTACAGTAAAACTTTGGTTAGCAAAGGCTCCAGTTGATAAAAAAATCAATTGAAAACAAATATTTTTCATTAAATTGACCTTGTTTAATGAAAAAAATTTCACTTGATGAAAATTAATGCATTGTTAGTCATCACAAAATTGTGCATAGAATGTCAGATAGAATTGTGCACCAGACAACATAGAATGAAAAGTAGTTTGCCTAAACTATGATTAATTTCTTTAAAAAATATGATGGTTGTCACTGGAATATTCCTTTCTGTTTCATGTTTGTTTTTTTGTGATTTTTTTTAATTCACTCGACTCAATTAAATTAGTGAAAAATCACAAGCCATCCTGTAAGCTAACCAATACAGAAGAAATGCTATACAGCTGCTGATATGAAGCTTGCAATGGACAAGGTCACTGTTAATGCTCAATGGCATGTCCATGGATACAGGAATATCCCATCAATAATATGGTAATGTATGGATCTGGTTATATCCTATCAATAAAGAAAAAATGAGTAAAAATCTCAGAAAATGTCACTTATTCTACATTTACATCATCTACAAAGAAAGAGGAGGACTTCAGAGTACTGTTAGTAATGGATGAGTACACTCTGCATGCTTCAAATGTTTTAAAATTATGTTTTATTTCAAGTGTCCATTATTACCCCATTCTCAGGGGTAACTCAGGAGGCTTTTATTTTGAGTCTGGCACCTTATGAATAGCATATAGAATTTTTTCAGAGATGCCATATGATATCCCTTGCCAAGACCTTTAAAATGAGGTCAAACTTGTTTATGAAATGTTTCATGATAAGAAGTTAGTAACAAAAAACGCTCAAAACCATCCCTTATTATCCCGTTTGACGGTATCTGTAAGCTTACAGGATGGCTTGTAATTTCGCACAATTTTAATCGAGTCAAGTGATTTCACTATAACATAATATACATTTAAAAATTACTTTTTAAATACAACACATCTAAAGAATCCAGTGTTTCCAATGTTACAGATGTACAATGAATTTCTAATTTTTTTTTTCAAATATTAAGAGAATTACCTAATTTTTCAATTTATTTTAATATATAAATTTTTTTTTCAAAATTATTTATTTTGTCAATTGATTTATGCATTGCCTCCAACTTCACAAAAGTGTGCAAAATTTCAGGTCAATTAGACAGGTAAAAGTGTGTTAAATATCATTTATAAGATTTGTAGCTGACAAAATTATTTTTTCAATTTTTTTAATATTGAAACATTTTTTTTAATTTTTAAAATCATTTATTTTGTCATTTGATGCTTGCATTGTCTCCAACTTTACGCAAGTGTGCAAAATTTCAGATTGATAGGATAAGTAGAAGTGTGTTAAACTTTGATTATAAGATTTGTAGCAGACAGACAGACAAAAACAAGAAGTGAAGTTAAAGAGAAGTGTTGTAAAAAAAAGATTGTAAAAAACATACCTGAAACAGAAAGGAATATTTTAGTGACAACCATCATATTTTTTGGAGAAATAAATCGTGGTTTAGGTTAATTACTTTACATTCTTTGCTGCCCAGTGCTCAATTCTATCTATGGCATTCTATACACAATTTTGTGATGACTGATGCAGTGAATTTCTGTTAAGTGAAAATTTTTTCACTGAGCAAGGTGAATGTAATCAAAATTCTTTGTTGTTAATTGATTACTTCATTAACTGGAGCCTTTGCTAACCAAGGTTCTACTGTTAATACAATTTTAGGGGTGTCCCTTCTTACTCTGGGGGGTGTCCCTTATTACCTTGTTTTGTGGGAATGGCTGCCATTTATTCTTGGAATGAGATATGCAAATTGTGTCAATCACATTTTTAAGCCAACACCAATGTGCAATGACAAATATTTTTTCTGCTACAGACCTTAGCAGAGGCACTTTTCCAAAATCTCACTTTTGACACTTTTTTCAGTGATTTTTTAGAGGTAATAAATTTCTGATTTCCCAACTGTCTTTATGCTGCATAGATAGTAAAAATGTTGAACTTTGAGCCACTATTTTTAATTTTGCAATATTTGATTAGTTTAGCTGCTACAACATTTTGTAGAAATGTTGGAGGACTGTCCCTTATTACCTCACCCGTCCCTTATTACCCCGTTTGACAGAATATGCTAAATAATATAATATTGTAGTTAAAAAGCCCATTTTACATACCTATTATATATTTCTATATTTTTTCCTGTCAAATCACATTTTTCCACTGAATGTGTTGAATGAATGCTAGATTTAGAATAAAAATCGCTGAATTAACAACATTGCCCAGGTATAGGACAAAAATGCTCTGGAGTCTGGCCCATTTCACCCAATCCAATGGCCTTTCTCTAATTCATTTAGAACAAAAATAATATTAAAGCATATATTTATTCAGGATTTTAATATTACCATATATAAATACAAAATAAAAATTTTTACATGTAATTTTATGAAAATTCTGCCTAATATTGCGAGGTGAAAGCAGTGTGTAATTCTAGAGGGATATTAAATTAACCAGTACACATAGCATATTGGAAAGCAGGACCTGAAAGCTTGGAAAGGCCAGGAACTTTCCACTTTGTCCATCATATTTCATAACATATACATAACCTATCACTTTCCAGCTGTGATTGGTTGATGGGATTGTGATTTTAGCCCCTTCCAGCTTTCCAGCTGTGATTTGTTAATGGAATTGTAATGTTATCTGCTTTCTAGCTGTGATTGGTTGCTGGGGATGCTTTCAAGCTGTGATTGGTTGATGGAGATGCTTTCAAGCTGTGATTGGTTGTGCCCATAAGCCCCGCCCCCAAATATGGTATATGTCTACAGTACTGGTTAACTAAATACTCAACTTAAACTTGATCATTACAAACAAAAAGCCTGGATAATTTTCAAAAAATCCATTAAATAAATGAAAAATAAAAAATATCTATCAAAAATTTTTACAACAAATCTGAGGTACTGTACAATTGAAACAGTTTGTCCACTTTTGATTCTCCTTTTCATTTATAGTTAGTCACCTGGCACCAGTATGGAATTCTGTATAGGTAATATATTCTCATGTCCATATATGAAAACGTATCGAAAAACCAACCCTACGGTTCCTACCCGCTACCACCGCGTTGGACCACCTTCCACTGCAATGAAAATAGATCAACTGGAGCTCATTAGAAACAGTCCCGCTTCCGAAATCGCGCGTGGTTTGAAATCCAATCCCGTGTTGCGAACGCCTAATCAAGTTAACTAGTCGTCAAGGACTACTACACACAGGACATGCATAGCCTATGTCCAGCCTCTGCTAGCAGAGGCGATCGCCTACACTATGAAAATGCTGTTGTTTTAGTGGCATCAACAAATGATATGCCCATAATTGTTTCATACAATAGTATTACAATGTGTGTTAGTTACGTAACCCCCATGTTAGTAAATAAAGGTGAGTGGGTAACGTAAGTTACGTAACCCCCATGTTAGTAAGTCGCGAAAAAAATCGGTTTTCCGATGCCGACCGCCAAAAATGAATGAAAGATTCCTAATCTACACCCCAAAAAACATATAATTAAAAAAAAACACCCTTTTTTTGGATGTAGTTAATCTGCAATAATACCAAACTAACATCTAAGTCCAACATTCAACTTCAAGGACATACTATAGCTAAGAAAAGAACAAAGGAAATTCTATAGATTATTAGATTGAAAACTCACTCAAAACATTGGCTAGAAATGGATGCTAATTTTTTGTGAAACAACGGAAATTATAGACGTAGGGAAAAATCATTACAATCCTAAAAAATTAATAGTATATTATTAGCCAAACAAATTTACGATGATGTACGAAGGTAGTCGACACACTTAAGTTATGATATCTCAAGTCAAGGTTTCTAACGATTAATCAATAATTTTAAATCAATGCAACTGACCTGCCCGTTGCCATTCATTTTAGTTTTTTTGGTTCCACAACAGCCAGATGACATTGCTATCTCATAGGAATTACTACCAATGAGGAGAAGGAATAATTTATATCAACTAGCGAATCTAATACGATCCCTTCTAAATGTCCCACAAATTTCCACAGAAGCCTTTCTTCGGGCAGACTACTCAGCTGTTTGATTTACCCTAAATAATAAATTTTAGGCTAAAGATTGCCTTACATATGAATTTACAAATGTACACTTTTGAAAATCCTCAATTTTGAAACCAGTTTTCTTGTCAACAATGTCTACGCAAAAAGTAAAAACTAGTTCTATTTGAATATGCCAATAATTTTTGGTTTACATGCATTTTTTAGACGAGCCTCTCAATCAAAAAACAACCCTTAAAAATTACAGCTTAATTTTCGTAGAAAAGATGCATTCATATGTTATATTACTTATATATTAATCCAAGATTCATATTTTGCTTTTATCTTTAGCTTCTTTACCAAATATTAGAGCAATTTACAGTTTAAAATATTTAATTATAGCATTCTATCTCTCTAAACAAATTTTATGCCACTTTCACTGCCCATTGCACTCTTTTTCAGACAGCTTGTTTTCTGAATGGTCGGGCAAAGAATGATCTCAATTACAAAGCAACATGGGCCTATTTCTTCAGTGCCGACAATTCTATTCTATTCTTATTCTCATCGGCGTTACAATATCATTTCTTCTCGCATCGAGTCACTGACACCTGAAGCAGCGTCCCTGATAGCATTATTGACGCTCCGAGTGTGAACGCTTTTAAGATCAGACTAGAGTCTAGACGAAGCTATGCTGGAACATATGTTCAGTATTGAAATGCCTAGCACCTTACGGGCCTTTCAATAAGTCTAGCAGCCATCTCAATAAATCATCAGTTATGGAAAGATCGGGTTACTAAGGCCGGATCCCTTGTGAATCAAGTCACGAAAAGTACAAGAATCGGCAACAGGCCATGGGCCAATTTCTTCAGTGCCGACACTTCTACTAATCTATTCTAAAGAAACTAATAGAATTAGAGACTTAATTGTTTATATGGTATTATTACCTGTCTGCCGTCGTTTAACTTATTGCCTGGTAATATCAGGCTGTGATTTACAGATAAGGCTGAATATAGAGCACTTTGTAGTAATTTTTAATGAACAGTTTTCATTGTTGGAAAGATCTTGTGACCTTGGGCGGCTATCTGACTGCTATCAGCTCTGACGAAACTCGGCCAGTGGCCTTCATTCCTTTCGTGGGTTTCATCACCAGGCGAAGGCCGACAAAAATGCAGTGCTCTTGCAAACATCAATCAAAAGGGAACGTACGCCTATCAGTCCTCATGCTGCAAGTCGGACAGGGTTAAATTTTTCATCTACTTTACTTATTTGCTCGTGTACCTTTCAAGGATTACTGAAGTGGCTGTATATAATTAAAAAACTAATCTAATTCATTCAAAACCCACTTCTGCGTTTTAAACACTTTTTGGTACTGAATTCAGAGGCTTTAAGTTTATATATTCAGATTCAGATATGAACTATATATAAGTGCGTATGACCTAATAGGCAGATATGAACAAAACTGTATCTGGCACTCCAGGAACGTCAGCAGCCTGAGATGACCACGCTTGACGGTATGGCGAGCCACATTAACAGAGATCATCTATTCCAATAACCATTTCTAGGCAGAGATGTTACCTTGCAGGAGACCATTTACGTATAGCCAGAGATCATCCATTGTAGGAGAGCATTTATAGACAGAGATCATATATTGAAAGAGATAAGATCGCCGCTTATATCGCAGGCAAATCCCTGCGACTCAGCGTTACTTATCAGCTTGTATTCTGCCGAGTCGGCACTCAGCTGATATATTGCTCGTTGTATCTAATCAGGTGTGAGTTTCTACTTGAAAAATAGAGTGTTTTCATTCTAATACATTATAAATCAAAATGAACTAGCTAAATTAAAATATTGATCAGAGAGCTCAAGCATAAATCACTGCCTTAAATCACTGCCTTTCTGTTGCTAGCAATAACATAACATTGCTTAGGAATATCAATCAGCGTTGAAGAATAGGCCGAGTTTGCCTATCGTGCCGATTATTATTATGTTATTGGATTGTCTCTATAGAGATCTTATGAATGACCTTTTTGGCCAGATCTATCCAAAACTTTCATTGCAGCTAAGAACCTGCTAAACATACCCCAATTTTGAGGTAGGAGGCACCTCTAGTCGAAACACATACCCTAAATATTAATTCAACCATGCTTTGCAGAGCCTCAAATCTGTTCTTGAACACATTCATACTAGGCGCGCCATAGATACAGCTTCCACATGTTTGTTCCACAAATCGGTAATTCGAAGCGAGAAGAAGTGTTGTCGCATGGATGAAATGCACCACAGATTTTTTTAGCTTATAACCGTGGCCCCTGGAGTTGGTAATTGTTTCACATATTCTAGTAATCCTTCTGGGACATTGTATAAACCACGGGTAAACTTGTATACTTCAATGAGATCACCACGCAGACGTCGATAATAAGGACATGGGAGCTTCATAATCTCTAAGCTTTCTTAATAAGACTGGCCCTTTAAGCCTTGAATTATCCTTGTTGCACGTCTTTGAATACATTCGACTAAATTTATCACCCTTTTAAGTTTCGGTGACAACATGGCTTTCCAAACTCTAGGTGCGGACGCACGGCACCGACAGCCTAATCGCTTCTGCATCTAGGTGCTTGTAGGAGCGTGCGACCAGTCCAATCAGTTTATTGGCTTTATTAACTTGAGATTTGCTTAAAAAATGTCAGCTCCTTATTGACATAAACTCCCAAATCTTTTTTCTGTCGATTTTTCAATCATCACTCTCTCATCGCAACCGTGCGTTCTCATGTTGCAAAGTTGCTGGTCATCGGTATCACATGGTTTAATTTTAGCTCATTTACTTGACTACAATCTCAATTAAGATGATGTGGATTAAATGGAAGAAAATATTTTTCAAAGTTATTTTCCGAACTCTAGATGCGCAAATTGGTATGATTATATTATGTAATAAAATCTTATCTGAGATAGCAACTTCTCGAGAAATCCAGTTTTGACTGGTGACATATACAAGCTGGTATGCACAAATGGTGCAAGCGGTGACACGCTTGCTGATACTTGTAACCAAGCAAGATGAATATTGGTGATAAGGACTTGATCTGCTGATCTTCAGGATAAATTACTGCATTTTGGTATCGATTCTACCTAATGGATATTTTGATATCGATTCTACATTCTAATATGATCGGGATGAGCGTAAAATTTAGTTTCGCGTAGCTCTTTAATTTTTTCAGATTAAGTTTTCAGTTATCATATACAAAACTAAATGCGTTTCTCAGATATATAATATGTTATATAATTTTACCAATATATATGAGGCGAAATAATTTAGATGGCGACTCATGTGCTATTTACCAAGTTCACCTGACGAAATTCCACCAAACATAAAAACAAAATTCGTTTTGCATATCTAGACGAAAATACGTATTACCAGAAAAACTCATAACAACAACCATCGCATAATGTAACAGTTGTAAGTTGTAACTAAAGGAAAGTACCTTCCACCAAACATGATAACAAAATTCGCTATGTATAATCGGTTTTATTCAACATGTTGTTATTGATTCTATTAGAGATCACATTTCCAGTGATATTTTTCTTAACAAAACTTGCAACTTCTTCGTCAGTATTTATTGACGCTTATTCATGCTGCTTCTTGGCTTAAAAATGGTTACTTACTTCATGTTATACAGCCACTTCTCAAAAATAATTTGATCACATGAATAATTATGAGCTATATGTTGGCACGGCCATTTTGGTTTTCTTTTCAGCCAAATATCACGCAAATTTTATAATTTGTTTAATGATATGGGCGACCCATAAGATTTAATTAACGTACGCAAAAGAGCAAATTATTCAATCAAGTTTAATTAAATCTTCCGCAATTAATTTACAGCTCAACTTAACCCAATTTTAAAATAAAATTTTGCATAATAAATTCTAAATTTTGCGTATCATGGGGATAATGAAGTGTTAATTTATAATTTTTTTTCTATAAAGTCGTCAGATTTTTTATTTTATTTTTCATTACGTCTTAGTCTCTAAAGAGGAACCAGGCATTCAGTGGAAATATTACGAGTAGTTCCACCATGCATTTAAAACAGTAGTCCCATTTTATCGAGTTAGTCATCTACCACAAGGAATCTAGCTCTATTTATTTAAACAATAAGGCAACCTTAAAATCTTAATCAGTCAACACTTTCGAGAACTTCAATTAAATTAGGTCGGGTAGGTAGGCACGAGTTTGAACATATAAACTAGGTGTCAGCATGAGCTCCCTAAAGCCTTGAGACATGATCAGACATCATTCTGTGACCGAGCTCTATAGAGAGTGGTCGTCGCTCTCATTCTCCCTGAATTTTGGTATTTGAACAGAATTAATACATTGTGAATGCTTTTGTGCATCATTGTTGAGTTTATAATCATCAGAATATTCGAGTCGTGTTATTGATGACATGGATAAGGAAACCGCCATCAAAGCAAGAATCGAGAAGCTGAGGCAGGAAATTTACGCCAAACACTTGACTAAATACGATATCCTCGAAATGGAAATGACACTCATGGTGAGTTTTCTTCATTGAAGTTTAACTCTATGTACCTATTAGTTTTCAAAATTACGATCTACCGTGTTCACGAACTAGGTATGCAGAAGAAACAAAAATTTCATGATTCAGTACGAAATTCGTTTAGCCTGCTGGGCAGTAAGAGTCCTACAATGCGGATTAAACATTTGAATGATTTGATTGCTTCTGCACGCGAGTTAAACTTTTTTTTCTTTGTCGTCATAATTTGTTGCATTCGCAGTGGCCGGAGAGGGTGCAGCGGCTTGCGCCAGACCTCTTAGTTCCATTGAGTTTTCACAAACTTCACTACGTCCTCGAACTGGTCTTGCAGAAACCGACCTACAGTATCCTTATCCCACTCTCCCGCATGCTGATCGCCATCCTCGAAGGAAGCATCGAACGAATTCAAAACCCTAAACATCCTGTAAAACTTTCCCCAGCCATCGCCAAGCACATAAGAAAACTTGTATCAACCATCAATATCATCTTGGAAATCATCTGTCTTCCGAAACATTGCGATGGCGAGGTGGTTCAACACACAAATCAAGTTGTTGTGTTTTGTTCACTTTTCAGAGATGTTCTTAACGACAGCATTTACAAAAATTCATTCAAAAACGAGAAGCTAAGATTAAATGCCACTTTTCACAGCAATTTCTTGATCCACAAGCTCATCTCAAGCTTTGTTTTTGCTTCAATGGTGAGAGGCGTTTTTGAAAAAGTTGGTGAGACGCTGCCTGTGAGGCGCTGCCGGACTGTCCAAGAGCTGGTGGAGTCGAGCGTAGCGACGGACTGCGCCATCTGTGCAGACAAGATGGCGACCACTGCTGACTACGCCTTGTTGTCCAGCTGCATGCATACCTTCTGTCTTCCATGCTCCAAAGGGTGGTTCACTGACCAGTAAGTAAATTTTGATTGCTTTAAATAGTACTCGTAAGTTAACGCATAGCTTTACAAATATTTAATGTGCGATTACACCTGCATCAGCACAACCCGACTTGGAATGGCATTCGCCTCAAAGTGACATAACAATCTAATGGGTCATAGGATGCAAGTTAAGATAAAATATCAAGTAATGAAGTTATATGAAGTGAAAATTAATTAACCAATTGAAAGCTTATGTTGCATAAAATAACAACGTTGGAATAATAGCAATTAGTGGTTCGTATGCTCGACTGCTATTTTTTCATTTTGTTGTGATATTTTATGGAGTGATTTGTCTTTCTCCCGACACAGTTACTCCTGTCCAATTTGCCGAGCGCAGAACTGCTTCTGGATCAGCAAGACAGAACTGGAAGAGTACCAAAAGTTTTGTACGGATAATATGATAGAGAAATTAAAAGATATCTCGGAGTACCCTGACACCAAGGACCTTCTAAACTGGATTTTCCACGCGAGATAATTCCGTGTGTTTTATGTTTCTTTTCGACAACAACATGGAATGCTGTTTGAAATGAAAACTAACTTCAATTGCACAGGGACGCCGATATTTGTTAAATATAAGATATGCTATTTATGGCTCTACTGACGTTACGTCATATTTTAAGCTTAGTTATAATTTGTCATTTGGTCACAGTGTATCAATTTAAAGTAATGTGGATCTTGTGTTTCATTCCCCATGCAGTGGCTCCTTATTTCCTTGAAAATGCCTGCGTTCTTGATGAAAAACAATACTCGACTCTGAATCCCTGGCCCTCCTCATGCACCTAAGTCATATGATATCACCTCGTGTAAGGCGTAGGGTTATAGGCTGAGGTGAGGTAATGGATCTCACAACAGGGGGATTGAAGGGTAATAAATTGTATGCCAGCCACCCATGCAGCGACTGACATGCTTACATGCCTGTACACATTTTCTTGAAGGCACGCGTACGACTTAACACGTGTACGGACTTTAGCTGAAGACGGATCTCCACGGGACGTTGCATGTGTTCAACAGGACTGACATTATTTCAATAAATTAGGCCTATATACTTGGCGTAGGTACGTGATCGCCTAAAAATATTTTACTTCCGATATTGTCATAATAGAAGTAAAAACCAATGAAGTTTTTCCGGAAGTTTTTTAATTACTTGAAACACTCGTAATCTTGTCATCGGGGGCGATCAAAATCATTACTTCTTGACCTTCTATGCGCTAGAGAATACAGTGCTTATGGCCTCTGCGTTCTCTCGGAATAGGGATTGGATTTTGTCTGATAAGATATTTCTAGATTAACATGTTTCATGCCGCCGACTTGATAATGTCACTAAAAATACCATAAATATGTGGCATCATCCACCAGTTATTTCAACTCAGTTACCTTGCTTTTATACGCTTGAGAATTAAAATAAATGTGTACATCAACAAGAATTTTGAAAAAAATCTAAAAATGAGTTCAAAACTGATGTGTTGAATCCTTGTTTTCAAAAGCACTTTTTATGTATCTTGTTAGTCGATTTCACAGAAACCAATTTTAATAAGAAAGAAAAAAGCTCGTGCATTGGTACGATTGATTCCAAAAGAGATTGAAACGTTGCTGTTCAAATATAAGAAAAGTACGTGGACATCTTTGAAGAAAGAATATAGGCAGATTCTTCGTAATCTTAGGGCTAAATATTAAGTTTAATGGCCAGCTTAGAGAGTCGTGATTTATAACACGAGCCTGCGATAACATGGAGATTAGTTAGCTTTTAGTATTCGTTATCCCCATGCACTATCTAGTCCTGACAACCATGTTTTAGTACACTACCTCTTATCAGCGTTTGGAACGTTTATTGCATCTTATTGGTGTTAAAAACCCGCCCAGCCGTGCGAGCTCTTGCCTTCTGCCCCCCCTCCGTCCCTCCGCGATCCCTGCAGACTTTTCCACTGCATGTAGAGGTGAGCAGTAGCGCGCTACATGTAGCGGCTGGTACTAGTGGCCGCTACATTTTCAGTAGCGGTAGCGGCGCTACATTTAAGCAATTGTAGCGGTAGCGGTAGAGCCCGCTACATTTAGAGCATGTAGCGGTAGCGGCCGCTACATTTCAAAGTAGCGCTGCCCAGCTCTGAGAATGCATGGCACTTCCACGAGCTTATGTCATAGGTCTGCTTAAATCGCATGCCAACCAATAATTTTGAAGAAAAGATAATGCCTTGTATATTTGTTGAAAAAATTTCGTCTACGAGCTCCATCATCAGTGCAAATAACTTTAAAAATACAAGTACAATCATAAGGGAAAAACATCATTGAAAGAGACTTAAACCGAAGTAACCAGCACATCAGGGACAATCATGCCGCAACAGTCCCTTTTCACACATATAATTTCAACATTACCTGCATACAAACAGCTCAATATAATAATATAAATCACATCAATAACACACCTAGTCAATTCAATCACCAGCGCACTCTTTTCACATCATAACCAATTCACTCACCACAAACAACTCCTGTTGGCTTGGTTCAGGTGACAAGACTAATGATGTAGTGTTTATTTAAAATGAATTATCACAAGCTGCTTTGTTATCCATTGTCAGTGCCGTGAGGCTCTCTCAATGCAAGCACTCAAATACATGCACTTAGAACCATGGGAACTGCGTGCTACACCGAGTAGAGTAGTTCCGGTATCTCTGAGCGCATATGCTTGGGTGCTCAAATGTAGCTCTCACAGGTGCCGGAACTGCGTGCTACATTGCGTAGTTCAGCTGGCTATGAGCTCGTATGCTTGGGTGCTCAAATGTAGCTTTCACAGGCGCCGGAACTGCGCGCTACATCGCGTAGTTCAGGTGGCTATGAGCTCGTGTGCTTGGGTGCTCAAATGTAGCTCTCACAGGCGCCGGAACTGCGCGCTACATCGCGTAGTTCAGGTGGCTATGAGCTCGTATTCTTGGGTGCTCAAATGTAGCTCTCACAGGCACCGGAACTGTGCACTACATCACGTAGTTCAGGTGGTTATGAGCTCGTATGCTTAGGTGCTCAAATGTAGCTCTCACAGGCGCCGGAACTGCGTGCTACATTGCGTAGTTCAGGTGGCTATGAGCTCGTATGCTTGGGTGCTCAAATATAGCTCTCACAGCCATCGGAACTACACGCTACAACACATAGTTACGATCGTAGCGTGTAGATCAATACGGCGCATTGGCCATATCGATCGTAAATCGCGATTTATGGAGAAGCATAATTAGCGACCGGCGTCCAGTGACATCCACCTCGGCGTCTTTGGTGCATGAAATCGGCGTCCTCGACCTATGTTGTGCCATGCTCTACAGTCTGGCCTATACAGAATTTCATACTGCTCTGCTTTGCACTATGGATGGCCAAGACCTAGTGTTTTGGTATTAGTTCGACGCGCAAATGTATGACGTCACCATTTCAACCATCAACAAACGCATCATACGCATGGAACTAAAACAAAGCTTAATATAAAGGAAAAACTAGAGAGGTGACAGAATTACCCATGATGACGGAATATACCGCGTTTACCCTACTTGCTTTACAACAGCAAATGTTGAAGATATTAGCAGTTGACGTAAATTGGAACACTTTCACACATCATGGACATGATGTGTGACACATAACACATGGATTATGATGGATGTAAATCAAGTAGGTACTAGGTAATAAGGGCAATTTTAGTTATGGCCAGGACAGCAGCCAGCACAACTTCACAAGCACATCACTATTCACCGGCATTACTACACGTTTACACCACTTGCCCCTATTGCCGATGGTCAGTGCGAGGCTAGAAAAATGGCTTCCTCACGAAAAATGCTAGATCGGCCCTTCCGATCCAAAATATTGTAGGCCTAAGCTTATTTTAATTTAGTTGCAACATTTCAATTTAGTGCTCTAGGCTTTATAAATTACATTACTTTCACCAGGAACGTGAATTTTGTATATATCAAGTATTCTTTTTAATTGTAAGGAGGCAAAATTTGGTATACAAACCACAAATACTTACCTGGAGCCTGGTGGCTGGAGTCTGGTGGCGGTGGGCTGGTCGCCGATACATCTACTTAGACAGGTTTAGGATCCGATTTTCAAGTGGAATCTGGATTTTAAATCAACTGCGGAACAGTCCTTGACAAAGGAACGCTCCGTTTTTTTTTTCACGCCAACAACATTACAGAACTAGAGCATTATTTATATCATTCATTTGGATTAAAAAAGAGTTAGCTGGAGACATCAACTCAGATAATAATCGATAAAAATCAGTTCACCTCAAAATCCCCTTATCTCAGATTGAGATTTAATTTTATTTTAAAAAGGTATCGGGTGTTAGAAAGATTGACTTAGAACCGAGAGCGCTTATTACACGAGTCTATTACACGCGTGTAATTTTATATGAATCTAGCTCGCTGCACTATCACAAATCACTCGACAACCTGCATTTAAACCAAAATTTTGTGCCGGGAATTGTAATGAACACATACGTTTATGAGCAATACGAAATAAATATTATTAGAAACATTAAACTACGTACAACGTAGAAATGAAGCACCTTCCGTTAGAGGTCACCTGGCAACAAAAAGGAGCTGACGCGTACCTAACTATGAAAAGCTGTTCTGAATATTAAACCGATTGCTCTATTCTATCGTTTATAGCGTAACTTGAGCTCAAAAATTGATAATACAGGTCACACAAACAATCTAAAAATTACGAGCAAGTTATACTCATGTACACAGCATTAGCACATAATCCTGTAACCATGCCTTCAGACATAAATCACGTTGTCGACGCTTGATGTATGCCTAGACTAAGTTTTGAACTCAAATTCGATCTATCTCCGGTGGAGTATCTAATTGAATTAATCAGAGAGATCGTGAATATTAAAAGGAATAATTAGGCTTAGAGATTATGATAGATAGTGCCGCAACAGCACGTCAACGCACGTATCTTTTCTACTCGCATTAGCTAGCTCAATGAACATAAAATAAACGAAATGAATCAAGTCAGGTGAGGTGAGTAATGCGAATAAAGCAATGAAAATCAAGAACGTTAAACCATTTGAAAGCCTAGGCGATCGCATGCTAAACAGAGTTGGATCAAGTCTCACAATCACGAAAGTGGATCAGAAAAGTGGCGCATCACGATAAAGGTGCGTCACACTGCAGGCATAACAATAGCAACATAGCATGTGGAAAAAAGTTGAGCACAAGTTCGGTGGTTGTCGTAAAGTACAACAGTAGTAGTAGTAGTTGAGTAGTAGAAGTAGTAGTAGTAAGTAGTAGTAGAAGTAGTAGTAGTAACAGTTGAGTAGTAGTAGTAGTAGTTGAGTAGTAGTAGTAGTAGTAGTTGAGTAGTAGAAGTAGAAGTAGTGAAGCGCTAGCAACAGTTGAGTAGTAGTTTGCTAGCGCTTCAGGTATCAAGCTATTTCGCACTGGAGGTCAAAAGATATAATCTCCAGGAAGGCGGAAGTCTCAATTATTCAAAGATCTGAAATAATTCATCACCCACAAGGGGCGGATGATCTCAATATTGTCCAGCCTGCTGAAGCTGGCTCGAAATAAGCAAGGTTAGCATCTCAAAGAGACGAAGTGAAAAGGAGGGAAAGGAGAAAAGCGACAAAAATTAAGACACTATAACAAGAGGTCGCCTACACGGGACGTCGGCCACCCACGCGAGAGGTCAGATAAGATAAATGAAAGGTATCCTATCTACGTGACAAACCTAACCCAACAACTGTGACCCGCAGTGAGACACAGCGCTCAAGAATAATGCTCCTAGGAACGCGAAATCCCAAGGGACTTCTGACGTTCATTGGACGCAGACACGTATCAGAAGTCCGTCATGATAGGTGATAACAGTCGAACTGAACAGATGTCTCCTGCTACTGCCGAATAAATATTGCCGAAGCTGAACCTTATTTATTAGTGGTAAGGCAAATAATGGTCATGAATTAGCCAAGCTTATAGAAAGATGAATATAAGATATTAGCTTCAATCTTACTTATGCAATATGGCAACGCAAATTATCGAACAAGCGTAGAACAGAATAAGATTAATTTTTGGCATCAGAAACCGTACTACAGCGATACGCCAGGTTATCAGCTAACTATAAATTGCAGATGTCACTAAAAAGAGTTTAGATTAATTAGGTAACAAAGACTTTGTAAGAAATGAGATAACGTAACTTGGGTGGAGCACGAAAAACTCTTAGGCACTAGTGCTACGCAAATGAAGAAGAGCGACGAACATGAATGACTGAGAAGTTTCAAAAATTTATGAACAATAGTATTCGAAGAAAAATAATAGAGAATTATTACTCCCAAAATAAATTTGTGTTTTCATTAAATTAAGTGTGCGTTACAAAAAAAATGGAGCCTATCGAGCCAAAACGCTGCAAGTGTAAAACTTAAGCCAACACAAACAGTGCGAGAGGTATTCCCGTCAGTGAAAAAATACGCTGTTTACTAAGCAACTGCGTCTTAGAACTTTCCCCAAGTCCAGATCAGACGAAACGATGCTCCAAGTTTTGTCCTTATAGTCTCGAAAATTAAAAAATTTCAATCTCATCGCAAAAACACGAGACGAAATCGAGACGTCCCCGAAAGCTTGTAATTACTCGTGATTTGTTTATTTTCACAGGCATTTCACAGACTACTAGTTTATAAGAATTTTTTTGGCATTTTTAGACGATTGTCAGTTTCAGACATTTTAAGCATTTCACTAAAATATTATATCTCGAATGTCCATCCTGTAAATAAGAACATGCGACCGGTCTCGTGCGTTTACACGGAGCCACTACTGGCAGCCTGTAGCACTTGGTCTGGCTAGCTCCAACTACCACTGGATATCTAACTTGTAGTCTCGTGTAGAGCGATATTCAATGCTTACTTATGAACGATTGCCACAAAAATCCACCAGTTTTTATTTTAGATTTCCGATACCATATTCATTAAAGACGTTAGTAGGTGTTTAACTTATTTCAACATTTTACTCGATGTATATTACTGGTTACACCTTTTCACATTATTAGTACGTTTTATCCACAAAATGTAGCTATTACGCAAAATAATAGCAACAAACTTAACTGCCGTCTAGCCAGTCAGCCTGGGGTCTCTAACGACATCCTAGCTGCCTCACTTTAAAAAATAACTATAAAACTAGCGACGGCCATCTGTACTAGGTGCTACAACTAGCATCGTGTACAAACAACTAGACACTACCTCAACGACCGACGTTAGTATCATCACGTCTAAGATGCTTGCGTAACTCAAATGACCGGCATTAAGAGCGCGTATTTGAAGTAACTCAAATACGAGTTTATGAGAGGAAAGGTTAAGAGCAAAATTGTGCCACCAGTCGGACATTGCAGTGTCAGCCCACTAGTGTAATTGGCAAGATGTTTGAGCAACCAATTGTCGCCAAACATTCTAATCAACAACAAAGGCTTCAACTTATTTATCCTGAATCAGTGCATCCAGAATGTTTATCGAAGTAATCGGTCTCGTATCGCTATATTACGTCTCGCTTTCCCCGTCTCCCAAGCTTTTAAATCACCACAAAAAGAAGTACCGTAACAATTTATGCCCATTGCGAGACCTCGTTTCAACTTGGCCACAATCCTGTATGCCAGGATGTTTCGTTATTACGGTTCGAGAAAACTATACCGAGACGCTATACTCTACATGTACAGGTTTCGACAAAATTAATAAAAGGAAATAAATGCACTTTTAGTGAACCATTATTTGCTTGTTAGTACGTAAAGAGGCCATTGACATGAAGCACAGCCAAATGAAAGAAGCTTTACCAACCACACGATACGTGCGAGATGATAAAACGACGTCAGGGCAAGTGGGGGAACCATGCATAATGGTTCAAGAGAAAACATCACAACATAAATACAATTCACGCATGAATATTATGTTATCCTGAACGCGAGAGCAACATCAACGGGGTGTATAATCAGGACTAAGATTACACATAGTAATAAAAAACTACGCTTTCATTTGCATAAGTCTACGGTGGCATGTCCGAAGACATACCGTTATACTCGGAGATGGGCTAAGCATGTTCAGTTTCCTGATCAATTGCAAGCATGATTACTTTAATATGTAAATCCTTCATCAAATTCCCCGCCACAGCTTTTCTGCAGATATTTTGAAACATAGTTGATAAAAAATGTACAAGGAGCTTCGCCAGAGTTGACATCCGTGCAGCTTTCTCCTATATGTGGAAACAACCGAAGCACAAGTAGAGCTAAAATTATGATCAAGCCATTTTAGAATGTAGCTCAAGGATGACGTCCTCAAAATGAGCTTAATGATTCCGTCAACTGAATACAACTTCACCGCCTTCTCTGGAAAGAAAATAGAAATAAAGTAACAGAGGCTCAGCAGTAAACCAACTGGCCGATAGTCAACACACAAGTTCGAACGGAAGTTTCTGAACATTGAAGCAACGTCCCACTTACACTTAACTTCTTTGGACCAATTCCAGAAAAGATATGTGAAAATATTTCCTGAACACCAAGCTGATCAACGTATACCTTTTGTGAGTCGAGAATAAAATCAAATTGACCGAACGTCCCCGAATACATCAATGTAAGACGATGGGCTGGTTAAGAAAACTGATTTACTACAAGCTCAACCAGGGAAAAATGGAATTAATTTCACAAAGCATAGTAAGTGTCGTAAAGAATGGTTGACTTCAGTACAGAAACGCATCGTTAGGGATCAATATCATCTCATTTTACGTACATTTTCCTCTACAAGAACAAAGTAGTACGTACCTGAAAATATACATGTTTTAACACACAAGTACAATAGTATTTACACTAAGCTGAAGAAAGATTCGTACTCTGCAACACCCCACACTTAGGCAAATCAGTTTAGTCAGAATGCTTCCAACACGAACAGTAAATATGATTAAAACAGACTATATAGGCACCATTTGCTGTTCATTAGTTGCTTACTAGTATGCAAGAGAAAAAATATTATAAAAATCGAATGGCAAGATACAAAATACTTTCCTTATAATGAAACGGAAAATTACTCTCGAAATGAGAAAAGAATATAAGAATTCGGACGAGTTGGTCAGACAGAAGCCAAAGAAGTTTCTTCTCGCGATTTTACCGATTCGATGTAAAATGGCTCGTAACTGTGTACGAGTATATGACATATACAATGCATAGGTTTTCCTATTATATACCATACGACGATGCCCTCAGTATTGCCATTAAGAAAAAACGAGTCCGGTTGGCGATATACAAGCACCACTAGCCCACCAACTCGTTAGGGAAACTTATCTATCAGCCAACCGAGCTCGAACTTAACTCTACACCACATCTATGACCACAGCCCAGCTCCAGGAACCTAATGCGATTACTATAGATTTATCGTACATTTACATTCACGCACCAACTCCACCAATCCTTGACGAAAAACGAAGGTTTATTACCTGATATACGCTCATTGTGTCATAAAATTTCAGGTAACTTGCTCGCAGCGGTCATTTCAATAAAGCAAACGCTAGTAAAATAAAAAACTCTCAAAAAGCAAAAGTGCCAAAAAGTTCAACTCTAACGCTAATTTCAGTCCCAAGTAGACGCGTACCCCGAGTTTGTTCTGGGCACAAACTCAACACCATGCTAATGTTGAGTTTCTGAACATTCTGAACTTCGCCGGCTGTCAAGCTCCGCGCACCAGCGAGTCTGAGAAATGAACTGAGCTTCACAAGGCTCGAACCCACTGCTAGCTCCTATCATCTCAGCACCGACAGCACTGCACGTGTACTAAGTTGCATCATATAAAGTTCAACACGAGAATTCATTCACGTTAAGAAAAATGAAAAACGCAAGTGGAAACAATCCAAATCAGGCAGAAACATAGAAATGTGTTTTTTATATAAATGAAACGATACCGGTCAGATCCCACGAGATCCCAGATCCCACAAATGCTACAGCAACGGAACCAAAGCTGAATGAAGTGTTTGACTGCGACAGAATTAAGTTATCTAAGTCCAGCGAGACGCGAGTCATCAATCATCACTGAGATAACTCAGTGCGACGTCAAAATGCGCCTCGCAATACATGCGCATTTGAAGTTTGGAGTCAAGTAAGAAAATTTATTTATAAAATAGGAGAGAATGTAACAGCCGTTCGTTCAGTATCATGACGCGCATTAAATTAGGCCAAGAAATAAACAGATGCTGTAAGACTAGGTTCTCTCAAGTCATTAATCACTGATCCAATCGACAGACTGTCATTGGTACGAAATATATTAATAATTTCAGCATAAATCTAGAACTTACAACTTCAAACAAGCTTTACATGTGCTGGAATTCGAAGTAAATATCATTAATATTCCGTTCTTACAATGTGACTTCAAATCATAATTCAATCGAGACAAATAAGATACATTTGGGACGAGCAAAATTTGGAAGTGAAACAGAGAGTAGCAAAAGAAAAACAGTAACCATAAAAAACAATTTAACTTCTTAAGAAAAATGATGGATTCAAGCTATTATATTCTTAGCTATGCGCAAGATTTTACGACGGCAAACAGGACATCTCTGCTTCCTGTTGAAGAGAGTCTTGGCGCACCGATAGCACGTGGCCTGATGCGATATTTTTCCATGTATAATCGCTGCGTCTTTGGGTCTATCTTGGCACATGATGCAGAGGTTGTCAGCGAAAGAACCACCTCTCCAAGTATTTAGATTGGAGGACCGCAAAAGAGAGTCGAGCAACATAGCTTGCACAGGGGCTGAACTCATCCAAGAACGTCCACGGTCGCTTGACATCCACTTACTGCCGTCATCTGATCGCAAGAATTCTACCAAAGAATTTGATATTATTTTGACAGTATGGTTCTCAGGCAGCTTCATAACATCCGTGTGCTCATCCACCAAGTGTAATCCTTCATTAAGGTACTTGGTTATTGGGTTGTCTGAGTAGTTCCTTTTCTTCCTAGGAATACTTACATCAGGGAACATGTTTTTCCTTTTGATGCCGGAGAAGTCATCAAGTTTTTCGACAACAACATCAACGACATCGACACGAGAGCTTGAAGCATTAGAGCGGCAACGACGGCCTCCTTTCTTCGTAGGGGATGTAAAGTTCTTTTTGGGGGAAGTTAATGTGATGGTAGAGCGGTAATTAGAAACAGAAGCTTCAGGGAAGTCCTGTGAGCTCTCTTGATTAAAATCCTGACTGCTGCCCAATCCCGAATCTACCACGGAAACAACGGATTCAGGGGCAGAATGCGTTGAGCAGCGGTCGAGATCAATAGAGATAGAAAGATCCCCCGCATTTCTTCGATCAGATTTACCGAAAGCTCCGGTGTGCATTTCTGGCACTTCTGAGTGGTCAAGAAGAACTTCAATGTTGTCTATATGCTTCTGCATGCTGCACAAAATATTATTCTGTAAAATCTTATTTAGCATGGCCTCACAGCTTCCACCGTTCAAAGTGTAAGAACTTTCAAAGTTTTGTTGATTTGCCATAGCATTAATGGAACCTTGGATTTTATCGTGAGAGTCTATCAAGAACTGCGTGTCTTCATTATCCAAAATCACAGTGGAAGCTGTAGACATACTTCGCTCAAGTCCTACAAAACTTTCATCATTGATGTCATCTGAAATTTCAGCCACAGCCGGCTTGAACACAGCTTCCATCGATTCAAGATGCAGCGCACCATTAACCATAGGTTGTGGAGAGCCATGAGCTGAGTTTTGAGAAAGGCTCCCAGATGCAGAACTGGACTCAATTATGCTTGATGGAAAATTTCTGGTGGTATTGGCAGAATATTTTTCAAGAGATTTCAAAGCTTCACTTCTGACCAAACTAATAACTTTTAGGCAAGGGTTTGTGAAATCTTTCTCGTACACACTAGTTAACATGGAAAATTTTTCGCTTGCTGGCACGCCAAATATCCTCCCTTCAATTCCACTAAGAGGCTCGTTTTGTCTAGGAGAATCTACCCCATCAATAACATCAATTCCAAGTTGCCCAAAATTCTTTCCAGAAAGCACTTCAAAAGCATTGGTTACCGCTACGGCAGCTGCTTCTCTCATCAACTCTCGAGTAACGCTCATATCGGCTGAGTTTCTAACAGAACAATTAGCAGTTGATGAATTTTCTGAAACGACCTCGTCACCGCCTACTTTGACACACCCCAACGCTTCGGAGGGCAAAGCAGCAATATTAACTTGGTCTTTCTTGCCTGTGGGTGGCTCACCATCATAGTCTGCCACGTTCATTGTAGTTGCAATTTCAGATTTTTGTAGCAAGAAACTATCGATCACGGCTGAAGTTTTGCAAGGTTTACCATCTTCGGTTTGTATAACAGAAGAATGAGAGCAAGCAGTAGCTGCGGAGCTAGGAACAGACGTTGAGCAGGCAGCGAGTGAAGAGCTAGAAGTAGACGCAGAGCTGGTAGCAGGTGCAGAGCCTGTTATAGATGCAGAGCTAGCAGCAGGTGCAGCGCTAGCAGCAAGTGCAGAGCTAGGAGCAGGTGCAACGCTAGTAACAGGGACAGAGCTAGGAGCAGAGCTAGCAGCAGGAGCAGAGCTAGCAGCAGGAGCAGAGCAAGCAGGATCATCAAGACAAGCGTTCACTGCCGCTTTGCTTGGGCCAGCTGTAGCACAGTCACTGCCAGCTGCCTGCGTCTTGTCTGCACTTTTATCTCGACTGGAGATGCCTCCGTTGCTGCGGCGCTTCCGAGGTCTATGTCGAGGCTTTCGTTTTTTGCGTTTTTTGGGAGGATCAGGTAGCCAGCACCGGCGCATCTGGTAAGACAAAACAGCACATCAACCGAACATCCAGCCAAACATTGCAATTCTTCCCAATTTGATTCTTGTAAGCAAATCAAATTCCTACCATCTGCTCACACGGATGTGAGAGAATGTCATTTACTTGAAAATATGGCAAAACATATGAACACATCAACAGAACATTCAGCCAAACAGTGCAATCCAATTAAACGATTCACATTTACTACATTTTACAAAATTAAACTGCCACAAGATAACTAAATTAGTTATACATCCAGAGTTCCTTTTCAAATTGCAGAATTGCAGGCATGTTATACTTCCCACAACAGAAAAAAATAACTTCCACTCAATCTAACTAAAAAATAACTTCCATCCAAAATACTAACAAGGTTTTAGACTCGTACCTTCCAGCACTTCTCACAGTATCGGAAAAAGCTGCGGTTGTTTGATTGGTTGCATTCTAGACATTTCCATCGGTCAGCGTGGAAGTCAGGATCAAAGTCAGAATCTGCGCTGCTGAGACTAAAAGGATCTGATCCTTTTGATTTTGTCACTTTCTTCTTATATGCAATGAAAAAGCTAGCCATGTCAAGTTCATCAAGGTCAGCAGCATCAGAGTCAAGTCCTGACTGGTCAGCAAACTCATCGGACAGCTGCGAGTCAGAGCTAATGGCTGCTACTGCAGCAACCGCAAAATTCTGTAAAAAATAAATTACCTGTCATTTATTGGTCACAAAATAACAATTGTTCACATGATTGCTTATTCTGATTCATAAGCAAAACAGAATCAAAACAATTAAAATTGAACTGCATATACCACAAAAAATTAGTTGAACACTATTAGCAGCTGCCTAAGAATCTTACTCATGCAACACAAATAGTTCACCCATTAATTTTTAAGGTCTTCATTTGGCTGAAAAACAGAAATTACTCTGACAAAACTATAATTCCGTTTCATCATAATCTAGACATAAACAGGTTAACAAGTTGACGTGAAAAAACTTGCCAAAAAGTTTTACTACTACATAAAAATTTAAAATTGGCTGAAATGCCAAATACCTACTAATGCTAGTTTATGGATCACAATTATTTTAAAAATTTAAACCCCATCATGAAAAATGTAAGAATAACCTAAATTATAAATAACGCTGTTCTGTTGAAAGTCAGTTTCCAATACCTATACTTTTATCCAAAAGACAGGAACTTTTCTAGTGACACTCACAGTATCAATGTCCGAGTCAGAGTTGTCCGCAAGTGGTAGATCATTGTTTTCATTGTCTGACACCGGCTCATACTCATCGTAGACAGGTTCATACTCAATATCAGAGAACGTATATAATTCGGCAGGCATCATTTGCTGAGCACGACTCACAGGAGAATTTTCTATGTTACCTTCTTCAGTATCGCTGATGGAATCATCCATGTCTGAAGTTCTGATGGAAGCTGTCGATATCACATGGGTTAAAGCAATGACAGCAAAAAAATTGGGCACTGATAATCCAGATTTAAAATCAAGGGATTTCAAAAGAGGATGCAAAAATTTAATTTGTAAGGCTTCATTCAAGACTTGTACAATTATTCATAAGTTGGGAAATTGTTGCATTCAAGTTTTTTCTATTGAAATAATTTCAATGACGTGTGATGAAACTAAACAGGTGAAAAATCATTAGTTTTCAAATGCTGAAAACCACATAACCGCCTGAATTATTGCTCTCTAATATCTACTTTTGAAGTGAACTTACAGTAAATCAGAATAATTAGCAAGAAAATAATCCAAAAAAAAATAATAAACTTTGCCTTTAGAAAGAGAGTAATTAAATTAAATTGATAAAATGCTGAATAATTTCCTGAAGTTTAAATGAAAGACTTGCTTACCGGTCTCATCATCTTGAGAAAAATGAGAAGATTCATCACTACTCCGAGCTGGAGGAGGTGAAGGAGGCAATGTCAGACGAAGATCAATGGCGCAGCCCTCATGCTCTGGATGCCACTTGCAATTGTTGATAGTATTAGAAGTGGTGTTGCTGGCACACAATGCCATTTCAATTTCAGGAAATGATCTACCCTTGAAAAATATGGAAGAATTATTATTCTGAGCAGAGGCAAAGAGGGTTTCTGTCGATGAAGAGCAGGAGCTCTTTGTAGTACAAGGTCCAGTGGGAGTGAAGGAAGAATGTCCTGCGGTTGAAGTACTGCTGCTTCCTGGAGTATAAGGGCGCAGTGGGAAATATGGCAACGAGTTTGAACGCAGTTCTGACGATAATGAAGGTGTAGTGTCTACAAATCTTATAGGAATACTTCCACCAGCTAGTGCATTGACATTGATTGGATTATATTGAGCAGTATTCGTTTGTGAAGATGATGAATAAAAATTGTTTGTGTTAGAAAGAGGCAGTGGAGAGGTTCTTACCGTTGCACCATCAAGAGACGAGTGCAGTGGCAAGCTCTTTGAACTGTGCAAGGGGACTGAAGCACCATAAGGAGAAGCATTCTGATCACGTTCCTTGTGACGTTGAATGACCTGATAAATATGAGGCATCAAAGCTCTGGGAACAAAACACCTACTACCATCTACTTGTATTGGATCATACTGATCAGGATGACAGTCAGCAGCAGAAGAATTTTTCTGAAATGTAAGAAATCCTGAACTTTGCCCAAAATCTGAAACGGTTTCTTGAGATGATAACTCACCAAGATCCAATTGCATGTTGTACAAATTTGAAAGATGAGTTGGGTTTGCATCAGTTAAAGAGCTCTCTCTGGCATAATTAGTGGGGATGGCAGAAATTGAGGAACTTTGGCCTGGTGAGAAGGTACACGTTTCATTTGTGTTGTTGGAGCTAGGGGTGCTTGGGCTTAAAGTTGTGGGGGTAAGTGGAGTAAAGGAAAGATGAGATGAAGTGAATTTTGGCTGATTTAGAATGCTTGGGAGAGCATTACAAAGAGATACACTTGTAAGAGTGGGTGTAATTGGTGTCAGAGCAACAGTGCAATGGCTTTCCTGCGGGAGGTTTGCAGCCAGTTGCAGTGGAGAGGTCAACACAGAAGATGTGTTGAGAGGTGGCAACACAGAACACACAGGCAAACATGACAGGGGTGACTGGAGCAATGCAGCACCATGAGAGCCCAGTACAACATTTGTTGCATGGCTCTGCTGTGGCTGCAGGTCACTTGTTGGAATCACAGGCAAGTTTTGTTGGGCCAAAGCTAAAGTAGTTGGCCGTGGAACTTGACCTGCACCAACCAGCTGGTCATCCCTGTGGTCCGCTCCGCTCGGCTGGCCCTCACCTCCAGAGCCTCCGATGCCTGAGACTTTACTACCACACGCAACCTCATCCACTTCCATTGCTCATTTCATCTTTGTGCTCTGAAATGAGATGGAAATCATAAATATTCACTAGTCATGCAAAACTATTTTTTACAAGCTTATTGGTAATTGCTCAAACAATATATATACATATATATATTATTATAAGATGGCAGAAATTTCTTGAGTATATGCGTACAATTTATGACCAGAGAGTGCATTTGAATTTTCAAGGAGTTGAACAATTCTTAGATGATGTTGGCAGATCAAAAGGCAGATTTAGCAAATAATAATATATTAATGACGTTTTGAATGTAGCAACATTCATTTTCAAGTTAAGAGAAGCATTGAATAGTGAAATTTGGTTGGACATAAGTACATAATACACGTTAATAGGATACAACACAAAAATTTTGAGCCAGAAAGTCCTTCTGCAAACAATCTTAAATTTTATTTTAGACAAATCCGGTAGCTTGGAAATCGATAGCTGGGGTCCAATCCAAAATTAAGACGGTTCCAGCAATCGTTGGTCGATTAATGTTGTGCACCTCCGCATTATGACGCTGGTGGGTTTCTCCAGCATGGTGCGAGCGACAGTCTTGTGAGTTTGTCTCAGGGGGCTTCTCTGCCCTCCAGGTTGAGGATGACAGGTGAGACGGTCTCAATGTCGTGGTTGTTAGTCCAAATACTCCAATATTTGGACTAACAACATATTTGGAGTATTTGGACTAACAACCACGACATTGAGACCGTCTCACCTGTCATCCTCAACCTGGAGGGCAGAGAAGCCCCCTGAGAAACTCACAAGACTGTCGCTCGCACCATGCTGGAGAAACCCACCAGCGTCATCATGCGGAGGTGCACAACATTAATCGACCAACGATTGCTGGAACTGTCTTAATTTTGAATTGGACCCAGCTATCAATTTCCAAGCTACCGGATTTGTCTAAAATAAAATTAGAGATTGTTTGCATAAGGACTTTCTGGCTAGAAATTTTTGTGTTGTATCCTATTTACGTGTATTATGTACTTATGTCCAACCAAATTTCACTATTCAATGCTTCTCTTAACTTGAAAATGAATGTTGCTACATTTGAAAAGTCGTTAATATATTATTATTTGCTAAATCTGCCTTTTGATCTACCAACGTCATCTAAGAATTGTCCAACTCCTTGAAAATTCAAATACACTCTCTGGTCATAAATTGTCATAAATAGATTTGATCCACATTCCACAGTGACATTTAAGGGGAGCGTCTAGGGTAAAATTTATCACAGCTATTTACAGACGGATCACTCTGGAACTTGGTACACATATGTAAAACAGAAATCTGAGACTTTTTTGTTCATGTGAATTTTTTGAAAAAAAAAATGAAAGAAAATGTGAAAATCTTAGAAAACGGGTTGGTGATTTTTTTTTTTATAAATCAATGATTTTTTTATTTTTTCATGATTTTTTTTACTTGATTTTTTTTTATTTTTCAGTTTTTTTGTCATTTTGAAAGGTTATTTTTTATCTTGCAATTAGCCTACTAACAATAACAGAATGTGGATCATAATGGGTGGCTAAAAAGGGCACTTATTGCCTTCAATAATGACCAACAGGCCAAGGTGGTGTTTACCACTTAGGGATTTTTGGGTAAACAATTATTGATAAGTCTATTCATTAGCTTTGTAAAGTTTGTATGGAGCAAGGTAACAAGCTAAGTATTGACCATTTAACTGGCTTCAATATACAAAAACACTTCAGGAATGCAGATCTTCTAAACATTGAAGAGTCACACAACAAATACTGAGATAGGTTGCTGATAGCACAGTGCACAACACTATCAATAGATCTACTAGTTTTATGTCCTATAAATCTACCAGACTACCGTAAAATGGGGTAACTTAGACCACTTTTTTTTATAAATGATGCCATTTTTTACTAGCTAAATTAAACTTGAATTGAAACATGCAAAATACAGGTCTATACTCTAGCTTCACTCACCATAAATTGTAAATTTGTCATTTGCATATGTAACTAGAAGAGTTCTACTACAATGCATCAAAACCTGGAGTTATTTAACCAAAAAATAAAAAAATTGGAGGGGGTACTCTGACAGGCTTTAAATAATAGCTTTTTTTCATGGGTCCCATTTTTAATTTTTTAACCTATTAGATATGCAAACTTTTCAAATCTTTCTATTGTGTTATGTGGCCTCAGTATTAGGCCTTTAATGCCCATTGACAAAATTTTTCTATGTCAAATAGTTTTTGAGTTGTGGGGGTTTTTGTTAAAAAAACGATAAGTGGTCTAAGTTACCCCGCCGGTCTAAGTTACCCCATTTTACGGTACACTCTAAACACACCGACTAGTAGTGACTGAGTGACTGACTGCACTGTTCCCATTCAATTCAGACCAATAAACCAATACTAAACATGAACTGAACTATAACCAAACAAACCACAAACGACTTGAAACGAGACTTGAGTTAAGAGAAAAGCTAACACTGTTCGAAATAAACATGTGCATAATTCAAACATTTTATTTCCATTCACTGCATTTAATTATTTTATATATAGTTTTATAATTGTAATTGTTTTATTTCTAGTTTTAAATTCAGAGATTTAAAGATTGAAATTAAATATTTTAATTTGAATAGGTACTAGTATTAGGATGAAAAATTTTTCCAATTGCCTAAAAGGTCAAAACAATCTCAACCTCTCAATATACTGGGTGGGGCAGTTTTGAGGCAAAATAAAAGAGTAATGAAGGTACATAAAGAAGAAAGTTTATTTTCCTAGAGGTTAGCATAGTAAACCATTTAAAATACTTATGTTTTGCAAACAATATCTGGAAGATGGGGGCTGTTAGCTGCAACACACTGTTGGAGTCGTTCTTGGAGGAGGGAGTAACTGTGACAGTGAATTCCAATCGCTATGCTGCAATGTTGCAAAATTCTTGCAGCCCAGGATGGAAAACATTGTTGAAAATGAAGCAATGGGAGATGGTTCCAGCAGGATGGGGCTACAGCTCACACAGCCCAAATGTCACTCCATGTTTTGAAACGCATGTTTCTCAGAGGTCTGGTGTCTGAGGGGTGATATACAGTGGCCTGCGAGGTCACCTGATTTGAGCATTTGTGATTTCTTTCTTTGGGGACATCTAAAAGAAAGGGTGTTCAAAAGTCACCCTCACACGCTACCACAGCTAAGGGGACAGATTATTGCAGCAGAGGTTATGGCCATACCTTGCCATATGTGTGAATGTGCTGTAGGAAACTTCTGAGAATGACTCCAACAGTGTGATGCAGCTAACAGACACCATCTTCCTGATATTGTATTCAAAACATAAGTATTTTAAATGGTATGATACCTCCATTACTCTTTTATTTTGCCTCAAAACTGCTCAATCTGTTCTGCCCCACCCTGTATAAGCTAGCTAACACATTTAAATTGTATATTGTAATCAATATATAACAAATAGTCAAATAGGTAAAGACTATTTATAGCCTTATAAGAATTAGTTAAGCTGCTAGCTATGCACAATGTATTGCAACACTTGATGTCGCTGTACCAAAAACATTCAATTTATTGGAACCTAATACACACTAGAGGCAACAAGTTTATATACCAATTTGTCATTCATAATACATTCATACTAAACCATGAATAACAATACCTCAAAATAAATTAAAGACTGCGACTCAATATAGTTAATTATATCAAAGAAATAAAAATAAATAAAAAAATTTTTGATTTTCCCCCCACAACCCCCCCTTTTTGTGTAATGAAATTCAAACTATAATGAAATTAGAAAAACGCCGGTGTTCAATTGTAGATAATTTTGTTGCGCATCGAATGGTATATATAAGAAGTGTGAATGTTGAGGAGAGCGCAACAAAGTTCCACGTGCACCACAATATGCGCTCAATGTAGCATAGATACCAAACTAAACGTTTCTGGAGCTTGATTCCACTCAAGGATGATGGGAGTGACTACATGCGCATCTCTCCGTACAACACCCGGAGGCACACTGAGTAAGACCTCATAGAAACACTGTATTTGTAGTGCTGGGCAGCGAATTAGCTTCTATTTAATTACTGAAAGAACTCTGCCCCCGCCCCCCTTTCATGAAGTGTCGTGAATGTATAAATCAACATACAGAGATGGTATTGGTACCTTTGGATAGGCCAGAATGTCAGCTTTAAGATGAGACTAAACAGGTAAGTGCAGCACAACTCAAGTAGTCACTATATTTTAAGAGCTCAGCAGCTAATTAGTTCCTATCTAATTACTTAAAGAACTTTCCCACCTGCCCCCTTTCATGAAATGTCGTGAAATCATAAATCAACGTACAGAGATGGCAGTGGTACCGTTTTATAGGGCAGAATGCCAGCTTTAAAAGAAGTATAAAAACCGAGAAAAAGTGAAAATTTCCAATTTTAGGGTAGATGATATCCCTTCCCCTTAAATGATGGAAAATAGTTTCAAAATTTAAACACCTATTGATACGCTTCTAAATAAGAATTTATTCATGTTCATTAAATTTATTCATTAAATTTAAAATATTCAATTATATGAGTGAGATCACCAATTATCAAAGAAGCTGTAAGATAAAAATCGTTGTTTTTGATGTAAAAGAATGTTTTTAATTTAAAAGAAATGCAATACTTGATTTTCAGAAATACGATGCAGAAATTAATGATCCCTATTAGAATTCAACAGACGTGGCTCATTCAGAATTAAATTGAAAAAGTTGGTACCTATTTGAAATTTATGGTTTTACAAATTACTTAATTAAATGTGGTGCAGAAATTCAAGATCACCTATGAGTATGAATTCAAGTCTCATGACTGGAGAAGATTTCAAAATTTATTGTACTACCATGTAAGTTTGATTTAAGCTTTTTGTCCTTTCGAACAACAGAGTTTATTTAGGTTCTATTGACCCTAATAGGTAGAACAATGCAACATATTTGCAGCCATCCAATGATCGGTTGATGGCTTTGACTCTTGATACCACTGTACAAATATTCCGGTAGACACATCATCCAGAAGTTTCAATGCAAAGATTCTCATTTAAAGGATAATAAATCGATTCTTAATTGTTTACTCAAATTACTCCCAGCTATTTAATTTATTTTGAACGCTTTTCATGAATTCGCATTAAAATATTCATTTTGAAATCAATCATGTCAAAGTAATGAAAGAATTTGTTCAAGTTTTAGGCTTCCGAAAATATTTCGAAATTCGAACCTCTATCAGAAAAATCATAATTAATCATTCTCTTGCATAGAGTATATGAACGTTAGGCACCGTGCTGCCGCTGCCGCAATCGTCATTTGTTTTCGTCAGTTACATGCCAGGCGCTGGCTTTTGTTGTTCTATTTAGTCTCGCTCCCATGAATTGCGTGTTTAGTGTGGGCATCATGGAAAAGTCTGCTTTACAGCGTAGTCACGGTAGTTTTAATTACTTTATGAAGTTTAGTTCTTTGCAGTCATATTAAGAGACAAATCTTTAACAAACTAATACTTTTTATAATTTTAATTGTTGAGTGAAAGCTGCAGCCTTGCAGGCACAGAACATTCCCAAGTGATTACTTTATAGAAACTTGGCATACCCATAAGTGTTTTAAGCCTATAAGAAGTTCAATTTTTTGCCTCAAATAATGTTGTTGCATCAAAAAACTGGTCTAGGTGTATCGGGAAAAATATATGAACCATCAATTTTAGAATTCCATCCTGCCTGCACGGGTTACCCCAAATCTCTAATTTTATCCAAAAACTGTCAAACAGCAACAATAACATTTGTCTTTACTGTAAGCTGAACAGGTGTTAATGCAGTCTGACCGCTCTGACGTGGCCACAACTAGGGTAAACGCGGTATATTCCGACACATTAAGGACGCATCAAGAAATGAAAAACTATACAAAAAAAACGTATGCGTTACGTAAGTTCTGTTGCCTTCACATGACTCTCAAAACACTTCACTACGCGTCAGCAACGATGAAACGTCACAAAATGTTGCCATATTTATTAAAAAGCCTTTAGAATGGAAACCTACCAAATCCCTATATTCCGTCACTTTGTGTGGCAATATTCGACACGTGGTGAGTCATATTGCGTCAGCGCTTCAAATTTAACTGATACGTATTGCCAACATCCACGTGTTCGAATTCCGTTTGCTGTGTGAGCTGTATTGGGATACAACACGGCTTTGAATTAGAACACTAACGAATATTGAACACTACTTAATTACGTTTTAATTAACAGCTATTAGGCTTTTAATTAAGCAAATTTCAATTTTTGTACAAAGCTTTGAACGATCTGTGTGTGTCCAATTCAAGTTGTGTCGGAATTAGTTTCCATGTGTCTAAATCCAACATCTCAACTTGATCATCTATTAATTTATTTACAACTTGAAATCAGCGAATACAAGTATACTTAAAGGATTCCTAATATATTCACAGACGTATTTAAAAGTCTCAAACCATAATATTCTTCCTATAAAAACAGTTATTCACTATTTGGTGTCAAATTTGACACATTTTTCGATGATCTCACCACGTGACATGCATTGTCTCTCTTTGGATCTCAATATTTTCCCACTAGATGGCCAAGACCTAGTGTTTTTGCAGTATTTCGACACGCAAATGTATGACGTCACCATTTCAACCATCAATGAACGCATGGAACTAAAACAAAGCTTAATATAAAGGAAAAGCTGGAGAGGTGACAGAATTACCTACGATGTCGGAATATACCGCATTTACCCTATTACCATCTCCAACAAAATGTTTGAGACTTTGAGTTGACTTTTTATCATTACGATGACTGTGTTCAGCAGGATAATTTGGCAGGACCGTTAAAGTAATGCGGATTGCAGAAGTTTAAAATTTTATGAAATGACATATTTGCTAAATGCTAAGTGCAAACCGCAGTTTTTTCATTCAAACAAAAATACATAACAGCAGAGCAGCAAGATTTTGTACCTACTAAAATTACATGATATTAGAGCCTCAACATTTCATGATTTCAGTTAGCCTTAGCGGCTTAGCAGGACCTAGGACTAGGCTAGTGGGCTTGCCAGCATAGTGGCAAACCAGAGCTTTTTTAGAATCAGTTCATTTTTAATTTCCTCATTTAGGTACTCAAGATTTAAACCAATTTCTTAAGTAGGCCTATGATAATGCTGGTGTCCAGGATACTTTACTTGGCTACCTACTTATAGGGCTCAAAAATGAACTTGTGGGAGAGTCTAAAAAACTCTCTGCTTTGCCAATTGCCACTATGGCCCGGCTTAGTACCAAAAAGTTCTGGTTCACTTCAGTTCATTTATAGGCTACTATCATTATACTTATAGATAGTTTCTTTAATTTCTCATGGAAGCCATAGAAGTATTCAGTTGGAGCCTCAGCTTGGAGGCCTTATAGCCTAACAGGCTACCGGTTCTATCTCCGATCGTTTTCGCCCCAATTCAGAGCAGAACAGTAGAGTTGTTCAGTACAGAAGTAGAGAGCAGTTCTTATTCAAAACGAACTGTTTTGTTGATCAATGTTATCCACCAAGTTGAAGTTACTTATGAATAAACCATTAAAACCGTTTTTCTTTTTGGCCGTGTATTTAAATAAATTATTGTTCGGATTACTTGATGAAAACAATCTGCTACCAAAAATTATTTATACATACAATGATAGAATCATAGAAACTTACCTTTTACTCATATAGAGCAAATTTGTTCGCCGCCTGCTGCACGCGACGACACAGAAATGAGTAACGTTAAAGTTCACCGAAATTAATCAGCAGATTTACCCTGTATTTTCAAAAATCTTGATATTCAGTGAACAATGATGCTATTTGAAAGATATCAATGCGTAATATAGGAATTTTAACAAATTTAACATTTAAACTATATTTTTTGGAACATCAAATGATTTCAGTTATCAAAAATAGGCAATAAAAATCAGATATGTTTTCTTAATTCGAAACATTCATATCTGCTGAAATAATTTTACCTTAGTTTAGGGATTTTTCTGAAAAATATTTTTTGTTACAGGTCCGAACTTGTAACCGTTTGTTTATTGAAGAATAGACCAGAGACAGCTTTTGGACAGAGAGAGCATATTTTGGAATAATATTGCATTTGAATTTTGAACCATGCTTAAGTTTCTGATTTTCTTAAACTCAAAATTCTTGATGGAGGAAATTTCTGAGTCTCTCTAACGAGATGATTTATTGTTGTAATCATCTCTTTCTTGTATGAAACCAATGTACCTATCCAACCCTTGTGTTAAGAATACAGAATTGCTTTAGAACTGAATTTACAAAACACTTGAAGAAATGCTGTCCTACTCATGATTTTATGCAAGAATTCTAGTCGTTATTATACTTTTTCGATGACACGTAGTCCATTTCATATATAAGCAGTTCTAGAGGCCCCACCGAAGGGCCACCTCAGAATATTCAGTAGTTACAAAAATCCTCCGGCTGCTTTTCGTTTGTGTAATTTATTATTCATACTTAAGAAAAATGAAAGGTAGGTTGAGTGTCGTGTGTGGTATAGGTCATGGGTGCTATTTAGGTCTCATTTGGCAGTCAAATAATGGATAGAAACGATTTGTTGCCTGAGACTGAGGGGTTAGTCAAAACAAAGTTGCGACGGCGTATATGATGTTAACAATAATGTGTATTATGATTAACATCAGATCATTTAACGTGAGAAGTTTCAAACATTAAGATTCTTTTGATCGTATTTTTTTCACTAAATCGCATATACATACACATACTATGAAAGTGCCAACATTTAAATTATTCTATAATATTATTTTATTGATTATCGTTTTTGAGTCCTATTCATGCGAATCAGTTTTGGCGGCAGTGTCATCGAAAGTTTTACGCCAGTTCTCGGAAGAACATGGATGTCTTGAGCCGGGAAGATTCCAGCCCCTGTGAGAGACTAGAAAATTAACACAAAAATGAGATTTCTCTGAAGCTGTCTTCGGAGGAAAAATACTGACGCACAATCCTTGATGAGAAGATTCCGTGAGGATACCCAAGCTTTGGTAAGCGGAAAGGGAGTTAGCTTCAGAAGTCCGACTTCACGTGGTAGAATTTATCTAAAGTTCACGACTTGATCTCTAATTATTGTACACAGAAAAATTCGCCAATCATGTTTTACGTAATTTGATCTTCCTCCCTAGATGAAAAGATTACAATGTTTCACTTCTTTCACAGTCACGTCTCATTTTCAGCGAAACACATGATCCAGTCAAATATTAGTCTACGTATCGTCTATCATGGTCATGGTCTATCAAAATATTCTATTTAGGAACATACCACCCGAAAATATTTATTCGATGACCAACCAAAACGAGAGCTTTACATTCGATCATTACATTTTATACATCCGATAATGATGTAATGAATAATCTTTTACAACGCTCATACAACTGGAATAGCGACGAAGCGAAAACTGCTTGAAAGGCTACGCCGTCTGAAATATTTCGGTCGATATAGTGATCTCTCTTCCAATTTAAACTTTGTGGCAATATTAATATCTGATAATAGATCGATAAGATTTTGAGACGAGTAACATGCGTCACTGGGACTAAATGTTAGCAGCTGGACAAACATAGTTAAATCATTATTCAGGACGTTTCGTTTACCAAGTGCTGGTACATGCATGATATTCATGACAAAAATGGTTACGCAGTAGTAATAGTGATTCATGTATAAATGTTATTCATCACGGAAACTCTTTTGCAGTCATAACAGGGATTCAGCTGTGTATGAATTACATAATGGAATTAAATCAATTTTATGGAGATTTTCTTTAGAACCTCAACATTAACCGTCGAAATATATAAACAGATTACTGTTGGTTAAGTAGATTGTTTGAATCTCCGTAAAAATTACTCAATAAAAAGAGGAAAACGATCTTAATTGTTGATGAAAAAGTAAGATAAAATAGATAAGTGATCAAGCGGAGATCGAGATGGTTGATTTTGATTCCAATTCTGGCTCACTGTAAATTTTTCAAGAATTTAGCGGGTATTACCAGCTAAAACCAAATCTAAAATGTCTATTGTCTATTTTAAAGTAGAATCGAACATTTCAATAATTACAGATGTGTACGCATAATCTCTAACAAAGTCATGAAAGTATTTTTATGTGTTTTGATATTAATTCAAGTGATTTTACACGTTCCTCAGGAAGGTTTAAGCTATATGTATGTGCAATATGTATCACATTTAGTGCGATAGTGTGTTCTTTTAGTGATGTTCAGCAAGGATGCCATGCATAATTTGAAATTATTAATTTTGTTAGATGAGGCTGCTCTGCGCAACGATGTGAGGGACGAAGTGAATGGTTTGCTTTAGAGTTTAGACTCTTATTTTCTAGTTATTTTTACAAGAATTAAAGAGGACAATATGAAAACTGCAATGAAATTTCCATAAAAAAAGAAGGAAACTGAATTAAAAAAAATCGAAATACCAAAAAAATTGCGACTAGTAATAATTAGAAAGAAATAAAAAACAAATATAGAATTTCTACCTAAATAAATAGCTGTATATTTTTTCTAAATTATTAAAAAAGTACACTCGGACATATAACTACATAATATTACAATAAAAAAATATTACAATAATTAAAATAGTATAAAATATAACCTATTTACTCTGAATACTTTAAAGTTAGGGTATTATAAATCGCTAATGTGAAAGAATCAGGCATTCGATGATTGCTCCAATACGCGAGCATGTCTGAGCCTATGACTTCTTCACTAATCGCGTCGTGATTGGTGGCCATGCGGGTTGTTGAAATTCAGGCTTCAGCGATGGTTGAAATTGACGGATATTATATGCTCTTTCATTATCCGATTTGTAAAGTTTAAGATATTATGATATCATAACGATGAATTAATTGCAAAAAATCACTAAAGCTTCCAGCAACATACGAAGCAGTTTGGATTTCAAACAAGCTTCCACATTTCAATCAGCTGAAGGCCGTATGAAAGCTTACGTGAATAAAGTAGGTAATATTGAACATGTATTATGCGTAGATGTTAAGAATGCTAAGAATGCGGGCCGTTATTGCGAGACCGTGGGAAAGGTTGTTTACATTGAAACGTTGACGCTCAGCGTTGCGAGGGACATTCCATTCGAAAGAATGCGCGTCAGTGCGAGGGTTAGGCTTAACTGTGCGCGACGGCTCCCTATATAAGGACCTCAAAATTGGCGCCAAGGGTGGTTGGTTCTACGACGGAGACCGTCACGCACGTACGGTCTGCAGACGTAACTGCTGCGGCCGTGAGGCCGCGGTGTTACCGTTTTCGAACATCGACGGTCGCGACTTGCGAGAAACTTAGACTCACCGAGGCAGTTACGATTCCTGTGAGTGCGACAAACATATACAATGGACGGCTACGACTTCAACAAAGTATACGGTCACTATTTTCATCTGAAGAAGTGGTACGGTCACAGTCACCTCGACGGCAGTACGACAACGGAGTTGGAGTATTTTCATCGGCTATGAAGACGAGCACTACTATTCCAAAGTACGGTCATCATAAAACAACCTACGGCCAGACTGACCGTGAGGCATCTGTAGCAGCGAGACAAGACGGTTATCAAGAACAGCGATCGCGAGGACGCGCGGCTACAGCGGCAGTACGACCACTTGGAATACGGCTGCAATCGCGCGGCTACAGCTGCAGTACGGCCGCTCAACCTACGGCCGCAAAGTGTGCGTGTACAATACGGTCGTTTGCAACGGTCGTACGGCTCAACGGAACAGCAATTGATCAACGTATGTAAACTGATAGGTTCTCACTTTTGATTGTGTAAAGCTCACCTTTTGTTAACGTAGGATGTGAACTTGAATTTCTCAATTTAATATGAAATGTATCAGTGTTTCATTACAACCCTCTCTTTGTATTTTCTTTGCCGTAACGCTTCAAAAAAGAGAACCTTATTCACGTGCCAAATCAAATGCCACTCGGCAGACCACCTGACAAACGATAAGTAATGAATACCGGTATCTTGAACCTGAACCTGAACGTAACATAAAATTGGTGGAGTAATCACTCCGATTCACCCAACTTTAAAAGTTATGAGAAACTAAGAAACGTCTCTCTCTATATTAAAATCCCAACACAATTTCCATCAAGAAGAAGTGGTACGGTCACAGTCATCTTCAACCGTAATACGGCAACGAGCTTGGAATAATATCATCGACGAGTAAGACTACGCCACTATTCCGAAGTACGGTCATTGTAAAACAACCTACGGCCAGACTGACCGTGAGGCATCTGTAGCAGCGAGACAAGACGGTTATTAAGAACAGCGATCGCGAGGACGCGCGGCTACAGCGGCAGTACGACCACTTGGAATACGGCTGCAAACGCGCGGCTACAGCTGCAGTACGGCCGCTCAACCTACGGCCGCAAAGTGTGCGTGTACAATACGGTCGTTTGCAACGGTCGTACGGCTCAACGGAACAGCAATTGATCAACGTATGTAAACTGATAGGTTCTCACATTTGATTATGTTCAGCTCTCCCTTTTTCACACTAGAGATATTTGTTAAAGTAGGATGTGAACGTGAATTTCTCACTTTTGATTGTGTAAAGCTCACCTTTTGTTAACGTAGGATGTGAACTTGAATTTCTCAATTTAATATGAAATGTATCAGTGTTTCATTCCAACCCTCTCTTTGTATTTTCTTTGCCGTAACGCTTCCAAAAAGAGAACCTTATTCACGTGCCAAATCAAATGC